ATATATATATATATATATATATATATATATATATATATATATATATATATATATATATATATATATATATATATATATATATATATATATATATATATATATATATATATATATATAGGGAATGCAAATTTTGACGAAAATAAAAAAATCGGAATACGGAATTCGAAATTAAATTATTTCGGAATTCCGACAATATTTTAAATTTTTTTTGTCTATAAAAATAATAAAAATAACTTATTTGAGATATTCATTGTTATTTATAGCATAAAAAATACTTTCTTTAAAAATAAAAAAGGAACATAAAATTATACTAAACTCAATTAGTACAGAAACATTCTAATATGGTATATCATTTTATAAAAAAAAAAAAAATATTATTGTTTTATTAATATTTTTACAAGTTTTTTATATAAAATTATTGTTTTATTCGCCTAAAATATTTCTTAAGGAATCAGAGATCATTTAAAGCTGCGTCTCCAAGTCTCGTTCGAACTTTTGTACAAAAGTTACCAGCAATTGAGAAGGCTCGCTCAGACTCCATGCTCGATGGCGGAATCAAATTCAAATATGAGTAGACGGACTCTAATATTTTGCCACAAACGCCGTTTTTTTCAAAGAATTTCAAATTTAATTTTTGAAATTAATTTCTTATTTATTGTTTGTTGAGTTGAGTTGGACGTTATGTTGGACGATAAATTCAATTGGATTTTGTTTTCCAATTTTTGCATAAATGTTAAGGGCTTAGTTTGTTCTTTCAACATCACTTCTATCACATTGTTAGCTTCTGACTGCTCGCCTGAGGAAGTTTCCATGTTAGTATTAAATATCAATTTTTGTGCAAAGTTTTCAATAACTTTGGCTATTGTTTTTTTCAAAGGTCTAGTGAAAGATGCGTGAATCTCACTTTTTCCGTCTTTGTGTAAATACTGAAGAGTTCAAGACACATTAGTCCGTCTTTGGCTTATTCGATCTTCTAATTTCTTCTTTAATTTTATGAAAGTTCATCAGATCTGAAATTCTCAAACATAAAAGAAAATGCTGCATCAGCAGAAAGCAGATTTGCATCTTCTCGACAAAGGCCTTCAACAGTAAGCTTCACTTGGATATATATATATATATATATATATATATATATATATATATATATATATATATATATATATATATATATATATATATATATATATATATGTATAAAGAAAATATGTCCATTGAACAAAGAAGAAAGTTTAACTAAATATAAAAATGTGTATAAAACAAAAAACATAAGCTTTTAGATAAAAAATTGAACACATAGGGGCTTAAAAATGGACAAAGATAACAATTCGTTATATTTAAAAACCATAATAAGCATAAAACTACTGCGCTGATAAGAAAATTATGTAAAGACAAAAAAAAAAAAAAAAGCAACCTAAAAATGATAAAATAACTTACGAGTCGTTACTTAAGAAAAAAATGTTCTTCATGTTTTAAAAGTTTCTTTTTTTATGAGAAACTTAAATGAATTTTAAACTATGAAAGTTTGAAAAATATTCTATTTAAAGTTTTCAAAACATTTATTTATGTTTGCAGATTAATTTATTTTTATCAAACAAAGACATTAACAAACTTTTTTTAACTATAAAAAAAGAACTTATAAAAATTTCTACTTGATTTAAATGCAACAAACTAACCTTAAATATTGACAAAACAAAGTGGATCCTTTTACACTCCTCAACAAAAAAACGTTTTTTGCCTAATGATTTACCTAAACTTTATATTAATGAAGTAGAAATAAAAGAAGATTCTGTTTTAAAATTCCTAGGTATTTATCTCGACGAAAATATGACATGGAAAACTCATATTGATTATATATCAACAAAAGTTGCAAAAAGTATTGGAATCCTCTATAAGGCCAGAAATTGTTTAAAGAAAAATAATTTAAAACAGCTATACTACTCATTTATTCATAACTATATAAACTATGCAAATATTGCCTGCGGAAGTACAGGTAAAAGTAAGTTGCAACGTCTTTACCGCCATCAGAAACATGCAATCGAAATAATATATATATTTTAAATCGTTTTTCAAATTCAAAACCTTTATACAAAGATAACTTGTATAATAAGTTTTGTTGTGTGAACAACCCTTCATTACATGTTTTTAATGATCTATTTACCTTTAAAGTAAAGAATAAATATAGTTTGCTAAATATAACTATTTAAAAAAACCCTTTTGTCGAACAAAGTTTAATCAATTTTGTATAGATTATCGAGCACCTAAGCTCTGGAATAAAATTGTCCAGCCTAATTTAGATTCATCTATCTCTTTTTCTGTTTTTAAAAACAAGTTAAAGAATATCATTTTTTCAACAGATAATATATTGATTTATTTTTCAGATATTACTTTAACCATTTATTATTTCAAATGTTTCGAATTGTTATTTTTTTATAAACTATCTGTATTATTTTATATTATATTTATATTGTAATTTTTATATGGTTCTGGCGACAAGATCGATATGACCTTCTTCCAGATTCCAAGTTAAAAAAAAAAAATTAATTTCTTTGCTATACATTTGAGTCCTTTTTGATGGTTATTCCACATTTAGTCCTAAATATGAATATTTAGAATATTTATTACACTTCAGTTTATTTGCATTTCCGAGGCGTTGTGTTATTTATTGTTATTTTTATAATAGCTTTCGTTTCTATTTGTTTTAAACTTGTGAAAAAAGTTTGCAGAATTTATATTATTGTTTAATCGATATATCAAAATTAAATGCTGATAAATTTTTTTATCAAAGCAACAAAAATCTTTCCCATGCGGTCGGTAATTGGTTGGTAGTAAACATAGTTAGACCCGCACTATTTGCTAAGCTTGAGCCTTTTTCCCATCGTCTTAAAGTTGCATCTCTCTCTCTTTTCTACAAACACTACCACGGTCACTGCTCGAAGGAGCTATCATCTCTAGTTCTATTAACTAAAACTCATTCTTGCTTGACTTGTCAATCAGCAAAGTCTCATTCTTATATTGTATATTCCCCCGCATGCTCTAAAAACTTTTATTCGTCTACTTTTTTTCCGCGCACTTCAACCCTTTGGAACTCTCTCACATCTTCATGTTTTCCTAATTCACACAACCTTCAACCTTTTAAGTCTTCTGTCAACCGTTTCCTTGCTCTTTTCTTTTTAACTCTATTCTTTTTTTCTAGTAACTCCCTACTTAATAGTGGTTGCTTGTAGCCTTGTTGGGAGTGAATCAGAATAAAAAAAATTTGACTTAAAGTCTGAAATGCTTCTGTCGAATTTATTATAAGTAATGGACAACGTAAGTAATAGACAACGTAAGTAATGGACAACCTAAGTACCATGCTTCTGCTACGCCTATAAAATAGATGAAGATAACAAATCGTAATCTTTTTATAAAGATTTTTATAAGTAACTTAAAATATAATTTAAAAGTAATAAAATAACTTACTTAAGCAAAAACCTTCTTCAAGTATTGGCATACATTTAAATCCTTTTTGATGGATATTCCCTATTTAGTCCTCGATATGATATGCTATATTCCGAACATTTATTAAACTTCCGAGGTGTTGTGTTACTTATATATACTTTTATTATAGCTTTTATTTCTATTTGTTTCAAACTTGTTTTAAAGTCTGGAGAATAGATTTTATTGTTGAATCGATACATCAAAATTAAATGCTGATAGATTTTTATTTCAAATACATCCATCATTTTTATATGTTTCATTAAGATTTTGATGTGATCACCATTATATTTATAGTAAATGATTTTGTTATCATGTTATCTAAAATATAAATTTGTTCAAGTTTTGATAGTTGTATACTTGCCCATACTATGTTTCCGTAGCTGATGAAGCAATCATTTAGCACAAAAGATATAAGTATGAGGCTTATATCTTTTGAGACTGTTTATTGACGTATTAAAGATCTCGATACATCATACTAACAGTTTTGGTGATTTTTGACTGGATATATTTTATCTAAGAAATCCCGGATAAATTTTTATCAACAAGAATTTCTAATAATATTATAATGGTTTGTTTTTTAATCAATTTATCATATATAAAAAGATCAACTTAAGAAGATGGTTTTATTCTAGCGCGTTTTATTAAGTAATATATAATTAGTTGTCTCACGTCAGGTGAGAGTTTGTGAGCCCTAGATTAACTGCTTACTTTATTTAGTTTAATATTTATTTCTGCTTATATTTTTTTTCTATATTGTTTTTTATTAGTATTATAGTTTTTAATTCAATACCTTTTTAAAATAATAGTTTTAACAATCTTATTTTACTTTAAACTTGTAAACGTTAGAAAGCAAATAGACTTTGCAAATGTAATGAAAACTACTTTATGTAATTATGTAAGTTGAGTTCAAAGCCTTGGTTAAGCTCCTTCACACCCCTCAATTGGAGGCCTATATAGCAATAATACAATTACAATCAGGGCCGGCGCGAGTAGGTGTCACATGGGGGGGTGTCACCCCCCACGTGACACCTACTCGCGCCGGCCCTGAATGAATCGTAATCAAGGCTGGCGCGATAGGGGTGTGTGTGTGTGTGCGTGTGTGTGTGTGTGTGGGGGGGTGTCAGCCCCCCCACCCCTCCACACACACACACACACACACCTATCGCGCCGGCCTTGATTACGATTCATAGTCGAAAAGATTTTTACATTTTACTTTTAGTTTGGTAAGTGTGGGTGAAGGAAAGTCTTATACCTAACTGCTAGTTTTACGACATTTTATAATATTTATTTATTATTATAAATATTATATTATAAATATATTATTTATTTTATAATTACAAAGTGTCTCGTCGTAAACTTAAAATATCTTTTTATTATATAAGACAATCGTAGTCAAAATAAAAATATCTTTAATGTCTTTAGAAACAGGTTTAACATTCACATGTATTGAATGCGATGTAGTTTTCACACTAAAAGTTTATTATTAAATTTTTATGTTATGAAATTACGTGATAATCGCACGCAACAAAATTCTTTTCCCTTGCGGTCGGTAGTTGACTTGAAGTCCCAAGTGCTGCTGTCGAATTTATTATAATGGGCAACCTAAATACCATCCATGCTGCTGCTGCACCTATAAAACCAACAGTTGAAAGTGCTACTGTAGCACCATCAATTACTGCACCTGCACCATCATCTCAACAAAAGGAACAAAATGCGCCTTTATCTAGTTCCTCTAAAAATCCCGGAGTTTTTGAAGATTTGCATAAAAAATGCAAAGGTTTGGCTTGTTATATCAGATTATGGAAGAAATGTCATGTTTTATTTTAACCTAATTAATTTCTAATCATGTATTCTTATTAAAATGTTAAAAAAGCTCTTTAAATAATGAGCAACAGTTCCTAATTTAATAAGAATAACAAATAGTCGGCTCAAGGAGAACTTTTAGTTTTAACAAAATTGATTTGATTGAAGTTAAATAAGGATAATCAATAATAATAACATGGTTATTATGCTTTAGATAATGTCCACAACGTAGAGCTGTTTGAGGCATTTGTTATAATTACTGCTTTCACTATGTTTATTATCGTGATTTTTTATCAAAAAATTAATTAGTTGATGTATATTCTAAAGTTGTTGCCATAAAAACAGATGTATAAATAAATTCAAGTTTAAAATATTATTTTATTTTCTTAGTTAACAAAAACAGTACACAATTTTTCTTTGAGTTTTTTCTTATAAATAATTTTAATTCAATTTAATATTTAAAAAATTATCAAGTTCAAATTTATTCTTGGAATATAAATGTTAAACGTGTTTATAACTCAGTTCTACAGTTTTATACCTGCTTGCTAGAAATGTATTATCATGCCAATCATGATCTATTAGATATGACTTTGGTGATGTTTGTATAAAGAAATTTATTTAATGTGGATACATATTTGCCATGATAAATTATGTTTTTTAAAGCATGTTATGTGGGTCGATTATAATAGCCTTACTTTTTTCAGTTATTTCACTAGTATGCTGATGAGTTTATTTTGTGAATATCAAAAAGGTTTTTAAACATAATTATTTTAGAGTTGCAACCTGGAAATTTTGATGGCTTTCGATTAATGGTTAATAAAGGACTCAGTAATAACTTTCAAGTGAGTCATACTTTAAATCTATCTAGTGCTCCTCAATTAACGTCATACCATTTTGGGGCAACTTATGTTGGAGGAAGTCAGTCAAATCCTGCTGAGGTATCTTTTAAACTTTCAATTTATTTGTGCTACTATAATTTAAACTGCTTAAGGTCTCTCTAACAGTTTATCTAAAGTTTAAGGATTCCTTGTTTGGGACAAAATTATCAATATAGACTTTAAGCATATAGTTAAAACAGTAGTAAGATTACTCTTGTTATTTATAAAGGCTCTTAACTATCATCTTTAAAATCTCTTTATTCTCTACTCTTCTATTTAATTTAGTTTTATAAAGTTACGGTTTGTTTTATAAACTATATTTAATCGAATTTTATACAGTTATGGTTTGTTTTATAAACCATATTTAATCTAATTTTATAAAGTTATAATTTTACATATCAAATTAGAAAAGAGAACAAGGAGAGCAGGATCTTTGTTTAGATTATATCAAAATACCTGTTTATATTGCTTGCTTTGTTTTTTGCCAGCAAAGTTTTGATTTTTCCTTTACAAAGCTTTTAAATTATCTTTTTCTTTTAATAGACAATTAAAAATTTAATTTTAATTAAAAAAAAATGGTGTAATAATATTTAGTTATTGTTTAAAAAGATTAATAATTGTTTTTAAACATTTTCTGGGGCTGGCCATTAATTACATCAACAATTTTTGGGCATTTTTTACCTCTTTCCCTCCAACAACTTGTCAAACTTTTAGAGATCCCCATATGAAATTATGTCAGAATTCTATTACCCCTACCCCTCTCTAAACCCAAATTTAAATTATAAAAAACAAAAACAATATTTTAAATAGACTAGTTTATAATTAAAACAAAAATGTGATGAAAAGTAAAATCTTAAGAAAAAATATCTATTTAATTTTTAACTTACGAACATATATTAAATAAATATAACCATTTAAAATTACAAATCTCTGAACAAAAAGTGAATAAAAGCAAAAGGTATAGAAAAAAAATATTGAACTCTTAAATTATGAATATATTATCAGTTTATAACTAGATTTACTCCGAACAGAAAAAAGATTAAAGGGTTCACAAAAATGTATACACCTTACATGTTTAAATTATGAACATATATTAAATTAATACAACACTCCAATGTGCCAATCCTCCTCACTTTAATTTTAGACCTAATTCAATTTCACAGTAAAAGCCATTTACTTCTAATAATACTAGATTCTAGTATATACCCTAGGGATCTGCAACTTTTTGAACAGAAATACAATTTACAAAGTTTTTTAGTTTTTAACGAGCTACCAACATTTTTATTTTAATATTAGATTATTATTTGTGCATAAAGCCTAAACCACATGAGGCTTGCAGGCCTCAGGTTTCTTACCCCTGTTATAAGCCTTTAAATAATATAATGTAGGCCATGTACTTACATAAATCTATTTTGTTTTCAAATACCGTAAAGTTGCCTAAGTTCGGTCACCAAGTAACTTTAGTCATTTAAGAAAAAATACAAAAAAAGCATGTAATATTCAAATTTTACATACTTCTTTATCTTGAATAGTATTTGTTATTACTTCGTAAATATAAATCTATAAAAAAATATTAATGTTTATTTGCAACCTGCTGAAATAGTTCTTTGGCAAAACAACAGTTCGAAAAAAGACATTCTATTAAAATCTAAAATAAGCAAAATATTAAAATAAATGATCAAGTTGAACCTGAGCATTATTAAGAATCACCAAAAATTAATTATATTTACAAAAAAAAAGTTATTAATTTATGAATATTAACTCCGTTTTTCTTTTGAAAATTAGTGAAATTTTGAAATACTATAACTTCAGTCATTCATGGATAAGCAACAAAGAAGACAATTAGCAGGAATGTTGTAAAATATTGATACGTTAAAAATGTGACTTTGTTAACATGAACTTAACTTAGATAACTTAACGTAGATTTAAATCACTGAATATGATATAATTACAAAACAATATGTATTGCAACACATTGAAATTCATTGAAGTTCTATTTCAAGTTTTTTTTTCAAACTATTAAAATAAATGATCATATTTAATCTTAGCCTTATTAAAAATCACCAAGTTAATTATATTTACAAAAAAAAATATCAATTTTTAAAAATTTACTTTTTTAAATAAAAATAGTGAAATTTTGAAATACTCTAACTTCCGTCATTCATGGAAAAACAACGAAGGAAACAATTAGCACGAATGTTGTAAAATGTTAGTATGTTAAAAATGTGACTTAGTGAATATGAACTTGTGTTGCAATTGCATAAATTTACAGGTAGCTTTACCTGTAAATTTACCAGTAAGTTTTGACATTTTTATAATGGAAACTCATCATGGTATTTTATTTAAATAAAGAATTTGTTTATAATTTTAAAATTACCCTGTTTTAAAAAAAAATTTACTGGTCAATTTGCAGGTAAATTTGCAGGTAAATTTTGATTTCAAAAATACTTGTAAATTTAAATCATTATGAATATGAAGTAATTACAAAACAATAATATATATTGCAACACATTGAAATAGTTTCTTGTCAAGTTAATACACCTATGTCATCTATGGGTTTATGTGAGAAAGTTCGGATGACTCATAGTTTGAAGGCTGAGGATAAAGGTATGAGTAAAAGGAGAGCAGCTATAACATTTTGCTTCAAAAGATTAACTTTTATTGACAAAAGAAACGGCAAGCATACTAAAAAAAAAAGGCAAACCAACTAAGTTGAGTGACATCATCAAGGACATTTTAGTAAGAATTTTAATATTCATGAGTGGTATTGGTTTTAGTTTGACTAGACTTGAAATACTGTGTGTTGTTAATAACTACTTGGTTAATTTAAATGTGTTTTAATGGCGGCAAAGTTATTACTGTTGTTACTCATTTATTAGATTACTCATTGTGATGAGCTATCGCTCAGAACTTCAAATAATATGCTGTCAGACCATGCAATGTCAACTCAGCCTGGCACTATTGGTCAATAGTATTTATTAAAATTATATGTTTATATGCATATATATTTTATAATAAATTGTTTTAAAAAAGATGAAATTTTAAAAAGTAAAATTCAATTTGTTTGTAATGTTTAAAAATTGTCCCTTTTTTATAAACTGCTTCATTTATAGCATTTTAATAATCTACTTTATAAATTAAGAGCCTTAGAAACTCTGCAGTAGCAACAAAAAGGCTTCATTCACAATACTCATTTGCTGTGATGCTTTTGGGACATTCTTGTCTGTTCATGTTTTATTCCAAGATCAAAGGTATTTATGATGAATTTGGGTATTTAAGAAGCATTTAAAACAGATGCGTGAATCCTGAAAACTTCGCATTTTAAAAACTACTATTTAATTATTTGAATTTTTTGATTAATGTCTAAATGGCTTCTAATTCAGGATGGGCCAAACTGTGCTACCTATAGTGTCATGCAATCTGGCTGGATGGAAGGACCTGCCTTTGCTGGATGGTTTAAAAAGAAATATTGTTGCAAGCTTGAAGGATCCAAAGTCCTTTTTCTAGATGGCCATGCCTCACATGTAATGCTGGAACTAGTTCACTTAGCAAAAGAGGAGAATATTATTATTTTTAAGTTACCAGCTCATACATTTCACATGCTACAGCCACTTGATCTAGGTGTATTTAGGACAGTGAAAAGTAAATGGCTTCAAAGCAACAGGTATTTTTCTTTTGTGTCGGGAAAAAATAACTAATGAAAAATCAGCTATTGGATCAATTTTTGTGCAAAATACTCAAGCCTTACTAACACTGCCTATACCAGTCACTGCAATTCCAGAAATTCCTTTTAAGTATACAAAAGCATAGAACTTCAAGCATACAAGCTTCTTCGAGCTCATTAAAACAATGACCTCCTTTAATATGCTGCACAACTGCTTGTGAGGATTTAAAGACATCGATTTTAAATGCTTTACATGATGGCCTGCCCAAAGTTTCTGTATCAGAGTCAAGGCTAAATGTTTTAAATAATAAAAGGTGCCTCATGTAAATTACATTATGACTTCTGAAGAAACTTTGATAGAACTTACAAATAAGCAAATAACGGCACAAAATAAGAAAATGAAATACAGGTTAGAAAGGTTTTGCGTGAAAAAAGCAAAATAGGAGGCTAATTTAATTAAGACTCAAAAACGTTTAGCAAAGGAAGCTGGCTTGTTTAATAAACCTTCTACTAAACAACGGAAATGACAACTATTGGAGGTAATTAAAATTATGACTACATCAGAATCTAAAGCGAATTTTATATATTAACACTGTAAATCTGATGGTTCTTTGAATTCAAAAAAATGTTAAACTTGTGACATTTTTTTTAGAGATAAAATTACAGCTCAACAACAATTATGGATGTCTCGAATCCTGTGACAATTGGTTGTTTGGATCTTGCAGTTCTACTTTGGCCGACAATATGTGCAAGAATTGGCAATAAATATACAAAGCTTATTTAAAGCAAACTAGTATTTTTTTTTTTTTTGTTAAAAAATTCTTTTAACTTAATTTAAAAATAAATTTTTAATTTTATTAACCAGCGGCTTAGCAAACGTAGAACATAGATACCTCAAGAAGTCCTAACTGTCTTTTCTGTGATAAGACTGTAAGGACTTCTTTGGGCAATTGGAAAAAAAAAAAAGTGATAAAGGCCAAAGTAATAAAATAGTTGATTGATTATAATAAAAATAAAAAATAATATTATTAATACTTAAAAAGGCCTTTTTTTATGTGCTTCATGTTGTTCTCTTTGGCGCCCCAAAAGACTTTTTTTAGAGTCCAGAATGATGCCCTCCTTGGTAACTGGTATTACCTAATATTATATCATCATTAAGCAATAAATTAAGATTTAAAAATTAGTTTTCATTATTTGTCATATGATGCGTTATTAGGATTTATATAGCGACCAAACTTATGAGATGGTATTGAAAGTTCAGTCAAAGTAGATGTTCTCATCTAAAATTAAATATTGAGTACTAATTTTTATTTTTTAATTTTTACAATTTCAATTATCAATATAATTACTTGTTTGTTTCAGAAAAAAATTGATTTTTTTTAATTTATGCCTGATAAATAAATGTTCAAAGCTTAAGTGACTAACTTAGGCAATTTTACGGTATCGAACTTAGAATAAATGTGACCTTTTTATAAGATGAATAATTTTTAACTTTTAGTTTTGAATTTCAGATAAATTTATTAAATTAAAAAAATCAGATTTTAACTGTCTAGTTTAACTTTCTTAGATTCTTTGGAAATATAAAATTAAAGTAAAAATGTTAAGATTTTTTCAATAGATCAAAGCAGTTACATTTGGTTGTGAGGTTTCATACTCAAATTGTTCTGATTTATAATATGCTTATATTGTTTAAAATATCATTAAAAAAATGTTTAAATTTTTTTTGTAGGCCACACCAGTAATACTTGGTGATATAGACAATAGTGGGAGTTTGAGTGCACAAATCATACATCAATTTAATAAACGTATTAAAGGAAAATGTGTTGTCCAGGTAAGAAATGAATTTTTTTTTAAATTGTTTATAGTTATGCTTGTAATTATGATATTGTAAAATTTAAGTAATGCAGTATATCTGTTTATACTATTAATTATATCTCTTTTTTTTTTTTTTTTTTTTTTTATTTTTTATTATTTACCTCCCCAAGGCCTGAGGGGGCCACTACAGTCGAGGAGGCTACTCATTTTTTTTTTTTTTTTTTAATTTTATTTTTGTTTGTTGTAAATCGTGGTACAACCCTCTCTCAACTCTTTAACTCCGAAACACGAACCTTGACAAGCAAGGCCGCTGCGCGGAGAAATTAAGTTGAGCGTGGTACTTCCAGGGACGTGGTGGGAGTCGAACTTCGAACCTCTCGCTTACAAAGCGAGCGCTCTTACCACTACACCACTACACATTTGTTTTCTTAAGATCTGATCATTTGTTTTACCAACTTCTAAAATTCTTCTATGTATTTCAGGTTTTTTAATAAGTTGAATAAAGGTTTTTTTTCTGGCATCTGTTTAAAGAAAAGAAATCAGTTTTCTGTTCAAAGACTTATTAACAAAACTCGTTTCTTTTTATCTCTAAAATTGATTTTAGTTGGTTCTTCATACTCTAAAATTGATTTTTATTGTTGGTTTATCATATTTATTTATTTATTTTTTTTCATATAATATTCATCAATTTAAAACAAATTGGTTTTACAGTGATATGATCTACAAATTTTATTTGTTTTAGTTGATTTGTTGAAGTTTTACTAAAAAATTTTAAAAGTCCAAAAAATTAAATATTAACTCTTTCACTCCCTGTGGCTCGCTCTGTTGGTCATAACCTTTGTTAGTTAATGTGACCACGCATGATTTTTATCTTTGTAATTTAAAATTTTTCTGAGATTTTGAATTAGAATTACTTATTCAAGTTTTTAACATTAATAATTATATTTAGACACAACAAAAAGAATTTGCCATGGTTCAAGCAGATGTAGATTATCGTGGTGACGACTTTACAACTACTTGTACTCTTGGGAATATTGATATTTTAAATGAATCAGGAATAATTGTTGCTCATTACCTTCAACGTGTTACAGACAATATTGATATTGGGACTGAGTTGCTTTATCATTATGGTCAAGGGCAGCAGTCTGCAATACTATCTCTTGCTGGTAGATACTCTGCTGATAAATGGGTTGCTGCTGCTCAAATAAATGCTGGTGGCTGGCATGCTTCATATTACAGAAAGGGTAACGATAATGTGCAAGTTGGTGTTGATTATGAATACAATTCTAGAATGCAAGACTCGAATGTTTCATTGGGTTATCAAATTGATATACCTAAAGCTAACGTTACTTTCAGAGGAATGGTAGACACTAACTGGGCCGTTGGTGGTCTTTTTGAGAAGAAGCTTTATCCATTGCCATTTTCATTTATTTTAAGTGGAAAACTAGATCATTTGAAAAACCAAAGCAGGTTTGGTTTTGGTCTGCAAATTGGGTAAAAAAAAAAAAATTCAGTAAAATAGAAAAAAAGATTCACATCGCTTGTAAAATATGTTTAGTCTTTTTTTGATACACATTTTTCTCTGAACAATAAGAATAGTAATAAAAAATTTAAAAAAATTGCTTTGAACTGTAATTGATTTTAATCTTTAGAAAGTTTTTTTAGATTTTTGAAATTTATATAAAAATTTTAAAAAAATGTAACAATGTAGAGTTTGAAAATGACATGTGATTTAAATACGTCTTGATAGGCGGATATATAAAGTTGTTTGTATTTATCATTCAATTTTAGCCTTCAAATTTTATTGATAGCGATGTAGATTGATTACTTGAAATTGCATTTAACATTTTTATTTTCTTGTTCTTTATTTGTTCCTTTTAGTAATATTTTTTCAAATCTTTATTTGAAATGGTAATCTAAAAAAAAAATTTACATATATATATATATATATATATATATATATATATTTTTTTTTTCAATATTTTATTAGTTCTAATTAATAAGTATCATGTTTACTACTTAATCGATATGTTGTTTCCTTAAAAATTATTTTGCAATGCCTCGTAGTATGTAACTTTATAATATCTACTATATTATTACGATTTTTTATGTTGGTCAAAAGTTAAGGCTCGCTACTTTATTTTTAAAATTAATCTAATATATTAACGACTTTCTTCAATAATTTTGATTTAGTTTTCATCAGGATTTATTAACTCTAAGTTTTTAATTTTTAATTTTGAAATAGCACTAATAACATGAATAAATTAAATAATAAAAAAGTTACAAAATGAGCAGAGAAATACAGCATGAAACTCCTAAATCATGGGCGAGCATCTCAGAAAAAACACGCTACCAATTAGTTTTTCTTTGAAACCGAGGACTATCTTCAAATAGCTGACAATTTAAATATTGCATTATATTAGTTATTGCACATATTTTAAAACATTATACTGAAACATGTTATATTTAGGATCAGAAAAGATCTGGTCGGCCAACTATGACAACATAAAGAGATGAACATTTATTAATTCTTTTAATGAAACATGACAGAAGATATCATCAAACGCTCTCTGCCATAAATTAAACAATACTTCTAAAATAAATGTGAGTACAAAAACTGTTTGATCAATTATTTATAGAAATATCTATATGTAGCAATATGCATTCAAAAAGCCAAAACTTTCAAAAAAATCAGGCAAGAATTGCCTGGTGCAATCAACATAAAAATTGGTCTGATTGCAATAGTATCAATAATAAGGGTAAATATGTAATTCCACCTCTCTTGTATGGTTCAGAATTTGTCACCTCATCTAAAGACAAAGCTGAACTGTTTGCTAAGAACTTTTCATCAATATCATCTCTTGATTCCACTAGTTGTGTTCTGCCTGATATAGCCATCAAACAGGTTTATCCATTGCCTAACATTTGTATCACTCCAGCTTCTGTATCTAAAGTAATTTCCTGCTTAGACTCTTCTACAGCTTGTGGCCAGGACAACATACCTGTTATAGTCTTGCAGAAGTGTTTTCCGGAGCTGTCGTCTATCCTTTCAAAACTATTCAACAAGTGCTTATCAGAGTCTTGTTTTCCAGCCTGCTGGAAAGCAGCATCTGTTATCCCTATTTTTAAAAATTCTGGAGAGCGATCTTATTCGTTTATCTACTGTCCCATTAGTCATGCAAGGTTTTTAAATCAAACAATCTCTCATCTTGAATCTAATAACTTGATTATCAATATGGATTTCGATCTTCTCGTTCAAAATGGCTGATTTGCTAACAGTAGTAACCGATAGGTTTTATCGCGCGTTAGATAAAGGTGGAGAGGTTAAGGCCATCGCTCTTGATATTTCTAAAGCATTTGATAAAGTTTGGCATGCTGGTCTTCTTCATAAGCTTTCTTCTTACGGTGTATCTGGAAACATTTTTAAGATTATTGAATCCTTCCTTTCCAATCTTAGTATAGAAATTGTCATTGACTAACAGCGCTCTTCTTCTTCTGTAACCTCAGGGGTTCCTCAAGGTTCAATCCTTGGCCCTATACACTTTGTAATATACATTAACGATCTCCCAGATGTTTTCACATCTAAGGTGGCATTGTTCGCTGATGATATTACCATTTATTTCTTGTCATGTTAAAAAGCCAACTCTCTCTGATTGCTTGCAGGGGGTATTTGAGCTTAAAAAGGATCTCACTTCTGGGGCACTTCTACAGCATGGGGCTCACAGTGGCTGGTGAACTTTAATTTAGATAAAACTCAATATTAGCTGAAAAACAAATTGGCTGAAAACATCTTAAAGATGTTTTCAGCCAATTGTAATCGCAATAATTTAGACCTATATTTATGAACAGTAATGGGCACTGCTCTAAAGAGCTAGCGTCCCTTGTGCCATCTACTAAAATTCATTCTCGTGTTACTTGTCATTCAATTAAGTCTCATTCTTTAACTGTGACTGTTCCTAAGTGCTCCAAAAATTCTTATTCCTCTAGTTTTTTTCTTCCAACATCAGTTCTTTGGAATTCGCTTCCTACATCTTTCCTGATTCTTATAATTTGCAATCTTTAAGTCATCTGTTAATCGTTATCTTGCTCTACAATCTTCATCTTTTCTCTTCCAGTAACTTCCATCACTAATTAGTGGTTGCTTGCAGTCTTGTTGAAAGCGAAGATGTTTACAAAAATAATAATTAGCGAAATGTTATATTCTCAGACAAAAGGAATGTTGAGTTAAATATGCAAAAATGTTGTGTTATGCTACGTCGATCACCTCAAGAAAGATTTGATTCAAATTGTACATTGAAATGAACAATGAATCTAACAAGACAGTGGCAGTGCAGGCATTTGGGTGTACATGAATTACGAAGGACTTGGTTGCTATTGATTATTTGAAGGTCAACTTAATGCTGATAGATATATTGAAATTTTAGATAACTGCCTTCTTACCTCAATCAATATATTTAAAATAGAATACAGCAATATCATACATCAAGAAGATGGTGCATCATGCCATACTGCAAAAATATGCAAATAATGGTTTGAAGACAACCAAATTTAAATAATGTTGTGGCCTGCTAACAATCCAAACCTAAATTGTATTAAAAATTTATTGTCATGGTTAGATCATTATCTTGGAAAAATTAATTTTTCAAATGTTGAACAACTAAAAATTGAAATAAGAAAAATTGCTTGACAATGTGCCTAAAGAAGCACCTCAAAACCTTGTAAATTCAATGCCAAAGAGAGTAAATCAATGCTTACTATATATCCTTAACTTTTGGCCAATCTTTTTTTTAAACTAAGATAACATGTTTCATTATTTTTCACCTTTTGGTATCAAAAACATGTTTAGATCTTTTTTTAAGATATCCCTAATGCATATAGATTTTACTTATAATATTAAAAAATAAAAAAACAAAATTCATTTTATTTTGAACTAATTTATGGCCAATGGCGTGTGTATATATATATATATATATATATATATATATATATATATATATATATATATATATATATATATATATATATATATATACACATATATACACATATATACACACACACCTATATTATACACACCTATACATATATACACACACCTATATTACTACTGCTGCTGCTAGTAATTATATAGATATGCCCAGTACAATAAGCACTTTAATTAAAATTCATTTTTGTAATAAATTAATTGAAAAGATTTTGATAAAGATTCCTACTTCAGTATGATGTCATCAGTAATATTCTTCTTCAGTATGATGTCATCAGTAATATTCCTACTTCAGTATGATGTCATCAGTGATGCTTTATTCATACATATTTTTAAGTATGTAGTTGTAGATTTATTATATGTATCAAATAAAGTTTTGGGCATACAATTCATATTTTCAAAGCAAATAATGCCAACAAACTTTTTTTTTTAGTATTCTTTTTATATCACGTTATACAGATGTCCTACATGTTTTTCAAAACATAATTTTTAAGTTATATGTTTTAATATTTTTTTTTTGTTACAGTTAAATTAATAATAAAAGCTATTGCTACACATTACTTGCCACATTTTATCTAAAATTATTCAATGCAAAATAGTGTTTTTAGAATATAATGACATTAAATATAAAGCATGTAGTATCTTTTAGCAGTGAAGATCCGGTAAGTTAAAGCATTTTTAATTATAATTTGTTGTTATATTATTTATTAACCACGAAAATAATTTAAAAAATAGTGTGAGCATTTTTCATGTCATATTTTTCATCTTCATATTGCCCTAATATATCTATTTTATTAAAAGATTTTTTGAATTGAATGAATGCGTTTTAAAACATGATATAACTTTAAAAATCTTGATATTTATCTAGAATGTCTGACCTGAACAGCTGATTTAGCAAATTTTAAAGTTTGTTTACTTATTAAGAGATTTTTATTGTTGCAACCTAGAGCATGTTCAACTACATTTGTAATTCATTTTTGGACCTTGTCTAAAAAAAAAAAGGGCATCATTAGAAAAACCAGCTAAAATATGAGAACAGTCCACACAAGAGACCTACAGACTCAAAATGGAATCAGAAGTCAGAAGTATTTAGTGATAGTAATTAGTGATAGTAATTAGCAGTAAATAACTGAGTTTTGTTTGGGTTGTCAAGCTTGTCTTTTTTTCATAATTTAAAGAAAGAAAGCTTTTACTGTCAATGTTTTTAGAGCATATCACTTGTAAGACAGATAAAAACTAAAACCATTTTGAATGTGAAGGTAAACTATAGTTTTCCAGATTGCTCAACATTAGGAGTAATACAGCAGAGAAGTAATTTTTGTAGTTTTGGGAATCAGGATAATGCTGATGTTACGAACAGATCCAACTACTTGAATAGTACAAAGTAAAAGTGGTATGTAAATACTTTTTTAAATGTAAAACTTTTTAAAAAAAGATATTGCTCATTGTACTGACAGTGCAAGTAAATAAAAGAAGCTCCTTCAAGTTATTTCATTGAGAAAATAGTTTATAAACTTTCAATAGATAAGAGAATAGATGTTGCAATATAGACTATGCCAATGTATTTCCGATAAAAAATTACCTAATTGGAAGTTTCACATAAACAGCTCTCACATGTGTATAATCAACCAATGTGTAAAATCAATGGAAAATGTTAGAAAAACTATTATAACTCAAACTGTTAGAAGTCAGTCAGGTTGGCACAAAAGGTTTGACACCAATGGATTACTATAAAACATAGAAACGAGGTCAGAAATTTTTTGCCAACCTCAAACACTTTTAGGTCAGCATTGCCGAATGCATAATATGTAAAGGTTCAGTCTAACTAAACATTTATGTTTAGTGGTTTATATATTTTCAAGAAGTGCATTTTTAAGTCTTTTTTTGGCTGTTAGTTAAAAATGAAATTTTTTCTTAAAACAGTCCTGTTATAAGGAAAGGCTGTAAAAATGTTGAGCCTACTGTGGCCAGATTTAGAGTTGTTACCCTTTTAATTTTTACCCTTTTATTTCATTTCATTTTTTGTTGTTTCAAAAATAACATTGAATTTGTATTTATATCTTAACTTGTCTAGGCAAGCCATTCTTTATTATATTATTGATCAAATAACTAAAATTCGGTGTAAAACACTTAACTTGGAACAGTTTTTATCAAAGATATGTCCAGATTGTTTGACCACTGCATCAGTAAATTAAAATTTTTTCAAAGTGATTTTGTATTTATTTTTTTATTGATGCAAACAGCTGGTTGTGATCACAAAAAGGTTTATGGATTTTTTGCTATTTAAGAGAGATAGTATATAAGAAATAACAGAAGTGCAAAGACAGAGCCTTGTGGCAGTTTACTAAAGAGGTGCAAGGACAGAGCCTTGTGGCAGTCTACTAAAAAAATCAGCTCGATGAGTAAAAGTTGCATCACTATTTTCAAGGTGTCTCATTTTATCAAGAAAGTTTATATTTTAAATTTCACCACAAACTAGATGCGGTAGTGGTGTAGTGGTAAAAAACTCGCTTCATAAGCGAGAGGTTCCAAGTTCGATCCCCACCATGTCCCTGGTAGTACAGCGCTCAACTTGTTTCTCCGCGCAGCGGCCTTGTTCGTCAAGGTTTGTGTTTTGGAATTATAGAGTTAAGAGAGGGTTATAACCACTATTAAGTAGCCCCCTCGTCTGTAGTGGCCTTCTCGGCCTTAAGGAGGTGAATTGCAAAAAAAAAAAAAAAAAAAAAAAAAAAAATTGTAATCTTTAGGCTCACATAAAAATCTTTTAGAAAGAACGAAGCTAGAAATAAAGCTCTGTTTAAGTAATCTGATCAAGTGTCAAGTTAGTTGTGTTTGTTATAAGCAATTTTTTATTTATGAAGCTGTTTTGGTGAATGGATAAAAGCTGTTAGTGAACATTTCTGCAATAAAAAGATGTAGACGCTATTGAATGGCTATGATTTAGATACTATTAAATGATATATTGGTTAAGTTAAATATTCCAATTACAGCATGTAGATTTATTCTTTAAAACTTTCAGATTTAATAAAATCATTTGAACCTTGAAAAAATCCATAAATAACGTCATGCTTTAGGGAGGAGAGGTAATGCTTTTGTGACAACTCAGACAGAACTTGGTACTATGGAGTTATGATGTTGTGACAAGAGGGGGAGAGAGGGTCTAAAACAGTCCAAAACTGCATGACATAATTTGTGTACGACATCAAACTTTTATTATTAAATAAATTTTTTATTACAGATAAAGTATGATTTTTATTTTACTCAAAAAGACCACTTAAGTATTTGCGATTTGCTAGCATGGTATTTTGTTTTAGTAAACTTTTCATATTCTACAAAATATATACTATTTTATAAATGTTATTTTCGAGCCTTATGAGTGTTTTGTTACTTAAGAGCTTTCCAGCTGAGAATTTATTAAAATCAGAGAATTATTACAAGTGGAAATGTGCAAGTGGAACTGAAAGACAAGCTACTGTTATACTCCAGGTTTATTTATATTTTATTAATTTTCATATCACCAAAATATTTCTGTTAAGCACATTTATTGTAATTATTTTGAATGTTTACTTAAGAAAGCATATATGTTTGGGGCATTTATAAAAAACAATGGAATCAACTGCTAGTATACTATCGAAACTGAAAAACATCAAACATTTTTTAAAAACGATTATGACAATTATATAAAAAATGCATATTTAAAACTACCATATTTGGTCTTTATATAGCCATTTCTGACGACGATGTCGTTGTAGTTTGATAATAATAATAACAATATTATTATTATTATTATTATTATTATTAGTATTTATATTATACTTGTGATTTTTAAGTATTTATATTATATATATATATATATATATATATATATATATATATATACACATATATATATATATATATATATATATATATATATATATATATATATATATATATATATATATATATATATATATATATATATATATATATATATATATAATATATATATATATATATATATATATATATATATATATATATATATATATATATATATATATATATATATATATATATATATATATATATATATATATATATATATATATATATATATATATATATATATATATATATAACCCTCGGAATTAAAAATGAGGTTGGCAGTTAGGTCGGCATTGCTGAATGCCGACCCTAATTCCGAAGGTTTTATATATATATATATTCATATATTTATATATATACACACACTACATGCCCAACTATATATAAGTATATACTGTATACCCAACTATATATAAATATACTATATACCCAAGTATTTTTTTAAAAAATTGTTTTTTATTATTTATAGCAGTTTTTTTATTATTTATAGCAGGAAAAATACTGAAGCCTGTCAATGCTAAAATAATTTTTAAAACATTTCAACAAATTAAAATATGGCAAACCATTTTAAACCCCAACCTGTCACAAACCATTGCAAACACCAACCTGTCACAAAAGAGAGGTCAGAATTAGGATCAGCTGCCTGTTCTCAGCAGCCAAAAAAATTATTACTTTCAAACCTAGAATAAATTTGTCTTCAACAAATAGAGCCACTTTGGATGTAAATTGTAAGGAAGATCATTAATGCATATGAAAAACAATGCAGGATCAAGGACAGAACCTTGCGTTACCCCAGAAGTTACTTGACTTGAAGAAAAGTGTTTGCCTTTGAGTTTGACTTTAATACTGTGGTAAGAAGGAAGTAATTTATACTCACTTGTACACTATATAAAGTTAGCTTATGTAGAAGAGATTGAATTGATTGAATTGATCTTTACTGATAGTCAAACAAAGTTAAAATGAGATAATAATAGTCTTATAGAAAATATAATATACTATGTTTTAGATAAATAATGAAAATATAAAACCATACAACTTTTAATCATGTAATCTTTTTCATTGGGTCCAAGTATTTGTTTACTTGTAAACAAATACTTGGACCCAAATCAGAGCCAAACCATTGCTTTAAAAGATATTAGAAAAACTCAGTTAAAAAAATATATATTTTTAAGTTTTTTTTACTATGAAAAGAAAACTTTCAAAAAAATAAATAAAGTTTTAGAGGAACACTTTTTATTTTCAAAAGAAAATGGTACTATCATAAGCACTTTACTTTAAATTCTTTTTTAGTAATTTATTTATTAGTAATTTAGTTTACTTAGTTTGCTTAGAATTTAGTTTATATAATTTAGTTTATATATACTTTATATACTTAAAATTAATTTATTAGTAATTTATATATCTAAACAACAATCATATGTTGTTTATATATCTAATTTGTTTTAGGATAATTAAATTAATTTTAGAATAATTTTATTTTGTTATCCCAACATGTCTTTTGATCCATGTCTCTGGTAGTACCGTGATCAACTTGTTTGTGCAGAGGCCTTGTTCGTCAAAGTTTGTGTTTCATAGTTAAGAAATTCAGAGAGGGTTGTAACCACAACTAAAGTAGCCTCTTTGACTAGAGTGGCCTTCATAGCTTTAGGGAGGTGAATTAAAATAAAAAAAAATAAAATATAGAAATATAGTAGGCTATACTTGAACACATATAGATAACAAATAGGTTACTTTTATCTATAACAATAGAACAACACAAAGTAAATTTATTCTAAAAACAACATGGTAATAAAAGTATAAGTACATTCAGCTGTTAAATTAAAGCTCATAAACATCATCTTAAGAATAAACAATATTGCCTCTAAACAAAGTCTAAGTTAACAATTTCTCAAAAAGACTCTAAGTAATGCATAAAGGTTAGTCTATTATTTAATTATCATAATGCAGGATAAAATGCTATTGGCATTTTATATATATCTCGGAGATTTATATATATATATATATATAAATCTCCGAGGCCATAAGTAGAAAAACAACCCCACACCATTACAGAAGGTGAATGCTTCACAGTTTTGCATGTGTATTTAGGATTGGTAGGATTAGAACCAGTAGGTCGACCAACAAAAAGCTTAACATCAGAGAACTGATGAAACATGAACTCATCACTGAATATCACCTGTGTCCACTGCTATTCTGTCCAATCTTGATGCTTCTTGCAGAACTCAATGCGCTTTTTTCTCATCTTTTCAGTTACTAATGGTTTTATAAATAACCTTCGTGCAGGTAAGTTCAATTCCGCAGAAAGTCTGTGACGGATTGTGCGCTTTGAGACATTAGAAAGTGTTGGTATGCTGTTCTGTTCAAGATGAATCCTTCAATAACCAGAGGTTATTGAAGGATTCATCTTGACCATTGTTACTATCCTGAGGTTAGTACACTGTGAAGTGACTCTAGGACTTCCACACCTCTTTTTAGGAGACAGGGGGATAACCTGCTTTACAACACGTCAAATTGTAGTGCGTGTAAATTGTTGCAATGTCTGCATGAGACATACCACTTTTAGCAAGACGTTAAATGCATGCTTTTTCTTCTTTACTAAGCTGCCGAATCTTAGCCATAATTTTCACTGAATTAACTGTTTAAGCTACAAAATTGTCTTTATAAATATTTATACCTAAAGATAAAAATATAAGGTAATAACACTGAGCCTGCTGGTGTGGAAATATTGATTTGTGTAAAATTGTGCCTTTTTGCAAAACTTTTTGCCAGCACAGCATATATATATATATATATATATATATATATATATATATATATATATATATATATATATATATATATATATATACATGTATATACACAAATAGTATTGCGTACTAAGGTAAGCAATCTGACGTCATCTGATATAGCCTGCTGCTGGGGGCTTCAGTACATACATCGACTGACAAATAGCCTAACTCGCAGTGGAGTGCTGCTACATTGACTGAGGGTTTGGGATGGGGCAGCAATCATTTCATTCATAATTCTTCGTTTTTTTTCTTCTTTTTTAAAAAAAGCCGTATGGGTTAAGGTAAGCAAAAAAAGTGAGCAAATGCTTATAAAAATACACTTTATTAAGTGTATATATATTTACTGTTATGATTTCTTCTTTAGCTTGAAAAAGTGAGCAAAATTCACTCTATTGCTATTGGTATGTTTTTTTTACTTATTTGATAGTTATATATGATTTTATAATAAACATGTTGAAGATTGTAATTATTGCAGAAAGTATATATTTAAGTTTAAAAATACTTTATATAAATTTTTTGTAACAAGTATTCAAATGTTTTTTTGAGTTCAAACAAGTTAAATTGCACAAAAAAGAATTGTTTTAAACATAATTTTTTGTTTGTTTTACAAATACTACAAGTATTATTAATTATATAATAAAGTTATTTGTTTACAAATTTATTGGGATACAGTTGATTTTGAAATATTTTTAATTTTATTTAGGTAATTGTGGCTCTGCATTTATTGAGGTTTTGGTTGGACGATCTAGTTGGTCGGCAAATAATGAATTTCAAGTACATGAATTTTAATCCACATTTGATTCTCATTTTTATTGTTTTAGAATTATAATATTTATAAATTTGAAGTATTACGTTAGGTATTGATTGCAGCATCAACCTTTATGTCACCTAGTGAGAGCAAATCTGGCAAAGAGTTAACCAGGGTCAGAATATTTGGTATGGAAGTTTTTCTAAGCATTTTTAAAATTATTGTTTCAATTATTTTATTATTTTAAATGACTTTGAACTTAATTTAAGGCAATGAATCGATTATTAAATCAGTTGGACAGGAAAAGTGGGACCAAGTTAAAATTGTTTGTACACAGCCTTATTGTCAGGTTAATTGTTAAATATTTTTTACTTTATAAAAAAAGTGGCAATGGCTTCTTGTTTTTACTTGATGATTATATTGATTGATCAACTTAATGTGAGTGTTGTTTTATCTGTGTTATTTTATTCTTATGGTAAATTTGTTTCATTTATTGATGAAGTGTGGTTTAACTCTAGGGCCAACAAAAACAATATAAATGGTATCAACAAAATTTTGTCTTCAGTTTATCTCTAGTTTACCGACGAAACATACTAAAAAAACAATCATAAAAACCATAAAAGTGTTGTTTCTAAATTTTCTTATTAAATGATTCATGAAAATAGAGAAACATTAAAATTTGTCATTCTTATCTGAAATCTTTTAAACTTGTTCCGCCAATCATAACCCTAAAAAACTATTTTTACATAAATAGTAAGAACTCTGTAATATCAATCATCTCATTAATGTTTGGTTTCAGTAATATTAACTCTAACTAAATCCTTATAGTTTTAGGCAGTTTTTAATAAAGATTCATCTAGTAACAATCATCTTTTTTCAATTGACAGTATTTAAATATTTGCTTCTTTTGCTTTTGTTCTACTTTTTTGTGAAATTTCAAGTTTCTAGTCCAAAGTAAATGTACTAAATTACTTGAATTGGGGTTTTGCAAATATCTCATTAATTAAACTAAAACTTTGTTACTTTGTTCCTTAACAGCCAATTCAATAGGTTTTAACATTTTAAAAATATCTTCTAAAGCTTTAAAATCGGCTCCCTCATAAAAACTATTTGCTCCAATGTCCAAAACTGCTTTTTGAATGCATGGTTTTTAATTTTACCATCCTTTTAATCATGAGAAACTAAGTGTTCCTCCGAGTTTTAATTTCAAGTTTTGACATCAACTTTTTATTTTCTTGTTCAAAAACAAGCTTTTCCAATATGGAGCTACGAATGCTTGACAATTTAAAATATTTAATCAATTTACATGAAATATTCAATACAGACTTGTCATTTCAGAATATTCTCTTGCTGCTTCCATGAGCAGTTTTCTCTATGATTTCATTAAAAATATTGCTGCGATTTAATCTACTAAGATAATCATTGCCATTATAATCAGAATCTGAATCATTATCTTCTGAAATAAGATTAAAAAGATGTTCTTTGCAATCATTTACATTATCATATTCATCGGCATCTTCTTCACTTGATTCTTCACTCAAACATGTTTGGTCCACGCTGGTAGGTAAATTTTTTTTAGAAATAATCGGTTATGGCCAGATGATTATCGTGATTGTGACACAGTTGACTCTCTACAGGAATTATCTGTCCATATTTTTGCATTACTGCAGCACATATGTGAGTAGACACAATTATGTATGTAAAATCTAACCCAAATTCTGTCAATTTTTTTTCATTTATTCTGGGGTTGTGAAAGCATGACAGGAACCATCAATTTTAACTAGACCCAATATATAAGCTACTTTATTGTAATGAACTGTATTGTGTCATTTATATACCTTTCAATGGAGCTGTCAGTCCATTCATCAACTGTTATGTTGAATTTTTAACCTCATTTATTCAAAACAGAAATTTCATCACATGGTCCTTTTTTTTTCTCATAAACTGTAGCTAGAAAAATATTATGAATTTCTTAGTTTCTTTACAATATACCCAACCTTTGCCAAAAGTGGGGTAGCGTATGTTCTTTTAAAGCATCACAATTACAGCCGACCTAAAATTTTGGCAATGCCAACCTAAACAGTGTTTGATGTTGGCAAAAAATTGCAGACCTCATTTCCAATTTATTTAGTAAGAACTTTGTATCAAATTTTTTTTTTTGTTAATCTGATGCCAACTTCTAAAAGATGAGGTCCACAAATTATTGCTGACCTCATTTTTCCTAATTCCGAGGGTTGCAATTACCTAGCTGCAAAGAGTGAACAACGCAGCACATCAACTCAATCTTAGTATGTTTAATTTTTATTTAGTTCTTGGAGAAGTAAGATTAGATTACACTGGTCAACAAAATGGAACTTTTTGTTCTCATCATGAATAAAAATATTTTTTTCTGGATAAACATTTCACTCTGATTCCAAATATCTATTTAGTTTTTCTCTATCACGTACACATTTTGAGATAAGGGCCCCTCTTATTTTGCAAATCTCAGGGAAATTAAGACATTTGCCTTAAGTTGTGTTGTATGAATTTGCATCTCCTACCCTATTATTATCTTAGATCCGTACATTGTCCACAATTTAAGTCAGTATTAACATATACAATGTTTTATTCACTACAATTATCACAACATTTGCTCAAAATCGCTGTGAATATGACTTTCTTTTAAAGACTTTGTCTGGGTTGTCACGATAAAGCATCCAGCAGTAATCACCCATCATGCTTTCATTTCAAAACCCTTGATAGCGATTTTCCATCAGTTGAATATCTTGATGAAATTGTTCACCTTGTTCATCACTCACTGCACCCAGATTTTCAGGAAAAAATTTCAGATGGGAATGTAAAAAGTGCAACTTCAAAGACATGCGACATCCCATTTTTTGATATGAATCGAGCAGCTCTTGAATGCCTGCTTCATATTCAGGTGACTTGTGGTTACCAAGAAAGTTAGCACAAACCCAAGTAAAGGCTTGCCAAGCTTCCTTTTCTTCATCTGTGAGAGAATTTTTGAAATTAATATCTCGTATAACCTATAATTTAAGGTCCAACAAAAATTCCTTCTTTCAACTTTGCTGCACTCATTTTTGGAAATTTTTCCACCAAGTATTGAAATCCAGCTGAATTGGATTTCCCCATTGCTTTTACAAAGTTCTTCATCAAGCCAAGTTTGATATGTAGAGGAGGTAAAAAAATCTTTTGTGGGTCGACCAAAGGAATATTTTCAACACTATTTCTTCCTGACTCATACTCATTCCTTTGGTCCCAATCTCGTTTCACGTAATGTTCTGTTACAGCGCGGCTGTCCCACAAACACAAGAAACAGCAGAATTTTGTGAAACCCATTTGCATGCCCATCAGCATGCCAATGACTTTTAGATCACCACAGATATTCCATTGATGAGTTTTGTATTTTATTGCCTCAAGGAGAATTTTTATGTTTTCATGCGTCTCACTCAGATGAACAGAATGAGCAATTGTTATGCAAGGCTTTTGATTTCCCTTATGCAACAACACAGCTTTCAAGCTTCGCTTTGACGAATCGATGAACAAACGCCATTCAGAAGGTTCATGCGGCTGTGATAAACTTTTAAACAGTCCACTGATGTCATTGCAATAGCACAATGGGCCATCAACAGTAAAAAATGTAGCTAATTGAAGATTACGCTTTCGATAGTGGCACACTTTAATGTTTGTTGCAAGCAAATTTTTTTGTTTAAGTCGTGACCCCAAAAGTTCTGCTTTTTCCTTTGATAAGGTTAAGTCTCGGACCAAATCATTTAGTTCTTCTTGAGTGAATACTTCTGGCGTTTTTTCGACATCAGGTGAATAGTCAAGATTGGCAGTATCTTGATGTTCATCACAAGAGTCCACTTCCATCTCATCTTCGACAGAATCTAATCCATCTATTGGAGGCATTGGAACTGGTAATGAGGGGTCATGTGGAACTGGCCTCATTGCCGAATCCAAATCTGGATAAACGATTTTGTGCCTATTTTTCAATGAAAATCCAGTTGTATTAACAATGCAAAAATAACAATCAGTTACATGATCCTTTGGCTTCCTCCATACCATGGGTATGGCAAATGAAAATGCAGTTTTCCGTTTGTGAAGCCAGTCACGCAATCCACTAGAACAGCTTGTGCAAATAATATGTGGAGCCCATGTTTTATCTTGATCACCTAACGGACATCCAAAGTACAATTTGTAGATTTTTGACAAGTTCGCTGTAATTTTACGCTGCTGACCAGACACTGTAAATAAGCCGCATACATAACAAAAGGTGTCACGCTGATTCTTGCATTTTCTTGGCATCTTGATAAATTATTTTATAAAGATTAAATCAAACCTGAAATGAGGAATAATATCATTAGTAATTGCCACTAATCTCAAAACTAAAGACATGTCATCTCAAAAACTAGACGTGCTACAAAAAAACTGAGCACAGATTTGAAATCTGCACAAAAAACTGTATCTGGGCCACCCAAAATCGAGTCTGATTAAAAATTGTTGTTGACCAGTGTTATTTTCCCAAACTGTTGCACTTTCTTGTTCCAGTCATAAATGCTCCTCATGTTTCTCATCCTGTATAGTTTCATTTAGAAAATTTTCATTATCTGAATTTTTTGTCGAGAGTTAAAACTTTTTGTTGATGTCAACTGACTATGTTAGATCACTTTAACACTACTATATTTTTAATATTAGTAAACTTATTTATACCAAAACTAGCAATTATCAGTAAATAAAAATACATTACTAATTGCCACTTTGAAACATAAAACATAAAAGGTCTCATGTGATGACCAATACTAATTCTATCCACAATTATTTGCTTATGTTAAATGTTTAAATTAAATGGTTGTATTAGAGTAAAAACTTAAAAATGAGCACTTGAAAACTTCTGGTGTTGAAAGAGAAAGGTAATAACATAAACAAGAAATAGTTATGTTTATGAAACTGTTTTAGTAAATTGAATATTATTTAGTTAAAAAAAGTAAAAAAAAATAAATTATTAACTTGTTACTCTCACATTTGGGGCAGAGGGGTTTCAAGATTTAGGGCTTTTTTTGTTCCTAGACTTTATTCATCACGATTTTTTTGAAAAGCATTTTTATTTTAAGTATAACCATACAAAAGTTTGGAATTTTCTCCATGTCTGTTTAGCTAGCACATACAAAAAGTTAGCTATATCAAACACAAAAATGCAAATTTTTAAAAATATAATCTTAACTAATTGTTTTATTTTATTATAAGTTCTTTTAGATTATTCGTAAATTATGCCAATTTAAATTTAATTGTAAAAAAAAATAAAAAGTTTTCCTTGCAGAGTCATAAATTTTAGCAAAAATTAAAATAGCTGTTTAAAGGGATCCGTTGTGCCGAGACAAGTTGTGTTTATTTTAAAGAGAATGATAAAAAAAAAATGTTTGAGCAAAATTTTTTTAAGTAAACAAAATAATCAATATATATCAACAAAAACAAACTTTGTTGTTTTACTTGAAGCTCACCGTTTCCACAGTAGCTATTCTCTGAAAGTCTTATAAATATACGCCACAATATACAGACTTAATAATTTATTCAAGCAAGTTTAATTCCAAAGAGTTTTAGTTAATTTTGTAGAATTGTAGAATTTTCTTGAGAAATCTGATAATTCTTTTTTTTTTTTATCAAATTATAGAATTTTTTAAAATTATTATTACAGATGACTAAAGAATATTTTTAGTTACTTTAATTTATATAAAAAATTTTTTTATCATAAATTACTGTAGAATTTCTTTAGTTATTTTATTTTTTAACTTTCGCTAAAAATATAAAACATTTCAGATATTTTTAGCTTATCTATTGCTATAAATTATTTTTTGTGTTATATTTATTGTTATTAATTATCATCCTTGTTAAGATTCTGTTAAAAAATATATTTTGTATTATTTAACACTACTGCAGACCGCTGTCAGTGGCTTTTGATTTTTCAAATTTTTACCGCAAATGTTGGTAGAGTACACTTCACAATTTATCTTGTTTTGTACATAAACTTTTACTCTTGTACATAAATTTTTACATAATTTATTTGTTCTTAAGGCTTAATTCTCTACATTATCAAGAACAAAAAAACCATATTGTGTTATTATAAAAAGTTATCACTTGACAAAGTTAAAAAATCTTCAGTAATCCTGACTTAAAAAAACTTCTTTAAATTTAGTTGTAAAATAAAGCAGCATTAACACTGTAAAATTTAACTCGTAGAAATGTAAAGGTATTTAGCTAAGTAAAACATTCTCTTTATACATTAAATGAGTTTGGTTTTGGAGTTGTTTTAATTACTATTTATAAAACAATGGTTTTAAGCACTTTTCATTTCTTATTGTTCAAAGATGCGTGTTAAAAACTTAATTAAATAAAAAGTTCATTTGTTTAGCTTTTTATTGTTATATAGTTTGCTATGCTTTTAAAAAGATTTACAATTCGAATTTTAATTAGTTGTCAATGTCTTTCAAATTTTATTCGTTAATTATGCCAGGCGATGCATAATTTATGGACATATTTAAATTATCAAAAAGTGGAGCCAGCTCTGGAGCCAGCTTCACCTTGAAATATTTCAGCTCCATCTTCTTGTAAAAACACCAGCTTCAGATAGCTTCGGAGCAGCTCCAAAGTCCTGTCACAAATCTTCCCTAAAACATCAGACTTGGCAGGATCAGAAAATTGCCACTTGACATAGATTCTGTATTTCTGAATTTTTCAAAAGCATTTGAAAATAGTGCCACACAAATGGGTCTGAAAAATGTGTATAGTGAAAATATGTATGGAATTATAGTTAATCTTTTCAATCAGGTTAAGGCTTTACTACTCAACAGGTCTCAGCAAATAGTCCTTGTTGACACAGTTATATGATTACATGTGACTAGTGTTGTTTTGATGACACTCAGTCATTTGGTTTCATATAACTAGTGTTGTTTTGCAATGATCAGCCTTGAGTTTAATCTTATTTTTCACCATTGCTAACTATGCAATAAGCAAAGAAAACATTTTGAAGATATATGCTGAGGACATTAAAATCCTCAGCATTGTCAACTTACTTGCTGCCATAATTAACTCTAATCAACTAAATTAAATAATCTGCAGGGATTATCTTTTTGAGCCAAAAACGATAATGCACCAAATGAAAAAATTAGGCTCCTAGTTCAGATGAACTCGGCCTATTGACAGACTATTATAAATAAGGTGAATTCATTTGAATTATGTCAGTTTGACTTCATTTGCATTATGTCAGTTTTTTGTTGTTGTTGTAATTTAATATAATACTACTTCTATTTATAATATAACTTGCGCTTATATTACAAATAGAGGTTAAGGAAGTAATGCAGGTAATGTCTATCTACATTCAACTATTGGTGTGTTGTGGGTCAAAAATTATAATTATTCACATAGAAATTCCCAAGTCGCTTTATTTTTTAGTTTAATTAATTTAGTTAAATTTTTTTCTCCCTAAATTATCAAAAGATGATTATAGAATAAAATTGCAGTGATTGTATAAATTTCAAGTTAAAAATAGTCAGTATTCTTCTTTTACTATCATAAAAATTTTCAAACCTGTCTCAATCTGGTGTAGCTTAGATTTTAACTGAGGCAGCATTTAAAAATCACTGGCAAATGAAAATAACTAAAGTTTGAGATTTTTAGAATAAAACATTAAATTTTAAAAAATACAATTTTCAAATTTTATTAAGTTTAATTTTCTATTTGTAACAATTAAATCTAAAACCTTTAAAATCAATGGCCTTTATCTAGCAACTTGTTGGACTGCACAATTAGGTAGTTTTAATCGTAGTGTTTTGAAATCTTGCTCTGGAAAATATAAAAATGAAAATATAAAGGACTGCACAATTAGGTAGTTTTAATCGTAGTGTTTTGAAATCTTGCTCTGGAAAATATAAAAATGAAAATATAAAGGACTGCACAATTAGGTAGTTTTAATCCTAGTGTTTTGAAATCTTGCTCTGGAAAATATAAAAATGAAAATATAAAGGACTGCACAATTAGGTAGTTTTAATCGTAGTGTTTTGAAATCTTGCTCTGGAAAATATAAAAATGAAAATATAAAGGACTGCACAATTAGGTAGTTTTAATCGTAGTGTTTTGAAATCTTGCTCTGGAAAATATAAAGGTGGAATGAAGTTGCCTATAGGATTTTTTTATAGCACACATTATGATAAGCTGTCCACATTTAGCAGATATATATCTGCTAAATGTGTCTTAGTTGTTTTATTCTATTTGGTGCCATGACATTGTAGCATTGTAGTTATGTTGGTTTAATAAATAAAAATTCTGTTTAAAGTAAAATGTTAAAAAATCTTTTCATAGTTGTCAATAAATTAATTTACATTTAGTTGCGAAAAACTTGTTGTGTAAGACAAGGTTGTTTTTTGTAGTGAAAGTTTCCTGTGATATTTCATGAAACTCTTTAACCATTCACTACTTGCTTGTTTATTTTCTATCTATTTAACTGCTCATTTGGTATGCTTAAAATAAATTATGTTTTTATTTTTTTTATTTTTATCTTTAAATAATCAGCATTTAATCTGTAATAATAAAATATGATAAGGCATGAAATTTTAAAAACTAATTAAAAGGTACCTAATTCAAAGTTTTTAAAACTGACCCTACTGCATCATTTTTTCAAAGCTGCCTTCTTCCTAAAAATAAAAGTAAAGTTTGATTTAAGTTTATAATGCATTATGTATTTAATATTGCAGTTAATAAAAATATTCACTTTCTAATCTGGCAGTTGACTTATGTCCTTATGCTATTCCTATATAACTATGATGTTGTTACAATATTGTTAATGAACATTTGCTTCATACAGAACAAAATAAAAAAATTCCCATAAGTGTATACAAAGTAAAATACTAGTAGATATTACTAAGAAATTTAATTTCTGTTTTTTTTCTTCGTAGACAGATGGGTATGGTTTATCATTTATAAGAATACATCCACCTCCAGACACAAATATTCAGTTGAGTGATTCTACAAACAACTCTAAGGTAACAATTTAGCAATTAGTTTTTTTCATTAAATAAAGTAATAATGAATGGATAAATATTTTCTTATACACATTTTATTACACAATTGATGGAAAATTATTTTTTTTTTTTTGTTAAGAAATTCGCACATAAGCAATTGCCCCCTCTTTTAATAAAACAAAACAAAAAGCAATAATGTTGTAAAAGCAAACAATAATGTTTGATGATAATGTTATTTTTTATGAAAGGAATAAATAGGTCTTTTAAAATATAGAATTTTTTTTTCAAACAACACTTTAATTTTATTAATAATTTTTTTATAACAATGTTGTTTAAATTAAAGATATTTTATACAGATACAGACTTAAAATGATATTTAAGGTTTCAATTTAAATTTAATTAGAATTAGATATTTCAATTTAAATTTAATTAGAATGCAGTACTTTAAAATACCCAACAGATGTAATTTAACTTATAACGTTGTAAATATGTATATTGAGTAAAGTTACATTTACTTGGGTTATGCTTTTTCTTATGCAACCAAAATATCATAACAAGGCAGCCTGTGTATATGTTAAGTTATTCAACCTGTGTATATGTTAAGTTATTCAGCCTGTGTATATGTTAAGTTATTCAGCCTGTGTATGTGTTAAGTTATTCAGCCTGTGTATATGTTAAGTTATTCAGCCTGTGTATATGTTAAGTTATTCAGCCTGTGTATATGTTAAGTTATTCAGCCTGTGTATATGTTAAGTTATTCAGCCTGTGTAAGTTATTCTACAATTAGAGAGCTCAATGTTCTTAAAAAATAGAGCAAAATTAAATTAGTGAAAACACTTATCTAAATATCTTCTACAATCTGTTTCCTCTTTAATATGTTCATCAGAAAGCTTCCTGATAATATATATATATATATATATATATATATATATATATATATATATATATATATATATATATATATATATATATATATATATATATATATATATATATATATATATATATATATATATATATATATATATATATATGTATATATATATATATATATGTATATATATGTATGTATATATATATATATATATATATATATATATATATATATATATATATATATATATATATATGTATATATATATGTATATATATATATTTATATATATATATATATATATATATATATATATATATGTATATATATATGTATATATATATATTTATATATATATATATATATATATATATATATATATATATATGTATATATATATATATATATATATATATATGTATATATATGTATGTATATATATATGTATATATATATATATATATATATATATATATATATATATATATATATATATATATATATGTATATATATGTATGTATATATATATATATATATATATATATATATATATATATATATATATATATATATATATATATATATATATATATATGTATATATATGTGTATATATATATATTTATATATATATATATATATATATATATGTATATATATATGTATATATATATATTTATATATATATATATATATTATATATATATAAATATATATATATGTATATATATATATATATATATGTATATATATGTATGTATATATGTATGTATATATATATGTATATATATATATATATATATATATATATATATATATATATATATATATATATATATATATATATATAGTCTTCTTCGTTTAATATTTAATACCAGGGCACAAAAAAATGGCCAAATGGTCATTTTTAGGCTGGCGTGCGCAATTTTAAAAATTCATTTTTATTTGCTATTAAAATTAAAATAAAAACAGCAAAAAGAATGCTTTGAATAAATTCTAAAAGATATAATTATTAGGGATGTACCGAAGCTTCAGCAATTTTGCCGAAGCCAGGTCAATTTTTTGCCGAATCTTTGGCTTCGGCAAAAAATTTTAAGTAATTAAAGTTATAAGCTACTGTTGTACAAGTTATAAAAATATGCTATTTGCCAGTGTCTAATTAAGTTGTAAATTCAGGACTACAGAGTTAAAGTTGGAGTCTATACCATATACTTAGTATTATTTACCCCCAAATGTCTTGTTATGGAGGGGATGATAATAAATAAGTATAAATATTTTGAATATAATAGTAAAATTAAGGAAGGTCCTCATTCACTTTGAAGGCTTCCAAGTGTGACTTTAGATGTACTGAATCAGCATTTTTATGCAGAATAAAAACCTTATAATTTAAAACAAATTAAAACTTTTTAAAAATAAAATGGAAAAAAAACCTTAATTTGTATTATGTAACGAATTTATATTAATTTTTGTGTGGGATTACCAAAAATAGAATAAAAATTGGTTTCAACATTTGACCTATAAACCTTAGTAATCTCTCTTTAAAGAAGATTAAAGATACGTTGCTACTATTTTAAATTCTGTGTATGTTTAATTTTTTTAAATTTTATTTAACCATAATAATAAAAATTTACAAATTTTCATTGTAAGATTACAGATATTGGTTAGGTGTCACTTATATAGTTACAAACTAGTCAATGGAGTGGCACATAAAAAATATAAAGTTCTCAACAACAAAAAGGAAGAAAAGCAAATGAAATAAAAATGAGGAAAATAAAAAAAGAAAAAAAAAGTCAACCAAAACTATATAAATTAAAAGAAAAAGAAAAACAATGATAATAATTATCCTTGCTCTTTTATTAATATCATGAATACTTCTAAATTGAATTTATATATTAAACATATAAACTTATATTCTGGTTTCTTCTTATGATATGAAGACTTTTAAATTTTATTTAAAATAAATTAAAGGTTAAAGGGACTGAGCAGGCTGATATATAAATATCAGCCTGCTCAGTCCCTGTTTATTTATAAATATAAAGTAAATAATAATATAATTATAAATAAAAAATTTATAAAGTATTCTATTTATTATTTTATTTAAAGCTCACTCTACTGAGTTGTTAGATTACTATAGAAGTTTTTGTCACAGATAGTTAATATTTGATTATAGATACTGATGCAGATTTATCCATTACAGAGACAGAAGAAGAATGAATACTATAATTTCAGAGTGTAAAAGATTAATAGAAGCTTTAGAAAATGTTATGTAGTGTAAAATTAAAAATAATAAAAAAAAACAACAACAACAACTTAAAAGTGTGTAAAAAAGAAGTTAGAGAGAAATCTATCAGTTGTACTTTTTTTTAGCAGCAGGTTCACAACAGTTGTAGTGGAATACAAAATGGTCTTAACTTGGGTTTTTTTTTAGTTTAGAAATTGTTCGTTTAATGAATACAGAGAAGTAAAAAAAAGATATTGAAATAAATAGTGTGTTTGTAAGATTTTTTATGTTGTAGATACAACTAGATCAGCTAAGAGTGTTTATTTAGAGAAAGACTTTTCAAGTGTAAAAGATAAATTTACTTGAGTAATATTCAGAGATTTTTATCCACTCTTAAAAAAAGGTGCATTAAAAATAAAAATAAAATATACAGCACATGAAAAGATGCGTAACAGTAATTTATGTGGAATAAAATTTGAGGATGTTCAGCTAGCACACGATAATTAGATAGAGCAAACAAGATGATTAAATAGAGAATTAAAAATTAGATGATTAGATAGAGGATTAAAGAGAAACGATGTTTACATAGAAGAATAGTATGGCTATAAAAGATCAAAAAAATAGCAATAATCTTAGAAGAATATTGGGAATAGTTGAAAATATATGTGAGTTACTGATATTGTGCACTATATAACATTAATATGGTTTGCACACAGAAAAAGTAGAACTAGAAGTAGGAAAATTTGGGGAGAATGTTTCAAAAAAGCTTAAGTTTTAAAAAAAATACTAGGTGCGGTGAAGTATCAGAAACGACATAATGAGAAACTTTCAAACAGGGGCGCTGAGAGCCTTTGCCCTGCCTGGGGCAGCAACCCTGACTTGTGTCCTCATTTTTATACATTTTTTCTATATTATTAGTCAAGGATCTTAGTTTTGGAACCTTTTTTGTTTTACACCCCTGCTGATCTGAATGCTGATTAAATTTTAAGCATATATAGTGCCGAAGCTTCGGCTTCGGCCGAAGCTTCAGCTTCGGCAAAGTGGCTTCGGCCGAAGCTTCGGCTTCGACAAAATTTTAGCTTTGGTACATCCCTAATAATTATTAAAAAATAGGAAAACAAATCATTAGTCTTATAGATTTTTAAAATAAAAATTTAAATAAATAAAACTTTAAATTGTAGATAAATTAATCACAATCAAAATGAGAAAAAGGCGGAAAAAAATCACAAAAAGGGTGAAAGTGCAAGCAGAAAAGACGAGAGAAATAATTAATTGTTTAGTATTAAAAATATTTTTATAAATAATAATTTTCTACCAAATAAAATAAAACCATTTTTCTTCAAACACATAGGCTGCTTAAGAAATTTTATTAATTCTCTGTGCTGTTTTTTTGCTCTTAATTAAAATAATGAATTTTTATTTAATGAAAGTTAACAATATAAATAATCAAATATAACAATATAATCACAGTTTTTATTTGATAAAATATATTAATATAAAATAATCAAATAATGTAAATATTTTAAGTTGTAAATATTATTTTAATATTATTATTATTTTTTTTTTTTTTGAACTTTTCTAAATATTTTTTGTGTGTTTTGCTTTTCATTATATCGATCTATCTAAATATATATATCAGTCTATCTAAAAAGCATATTTAATTTTTAGTATGCAAAAAAATGTAATTTTTTTTTTTGTATTTCTGTCATAAAATTGTAAAGTATGTATTATTTTGCCCACATTTTACACATAACATAAAATACAGACAGCTTTTAACCTATTTTAATCTATTATGTCGTGTACAGATTAATAGATGTTATAATTTTATAATGTATAGATAATATGTTGATTTTTTTTTTTTTTTTGTCAGGAAATTGTCATGGGAAATTTTAGATTAAAAAGCAGCTCTGATGATGAAAATAGTTTGGCATTAACTGCTGGTAGTTTTTTTCAAAAGCGAAAAATTTCAGAATCTCAAGACCAAATCTCTCCAAAAGTTTCGATGGCAGTTGCTGCTCGTACTGGATTAAGTTCTCAAAAGCCATTGGTTTTTGCTTCATCATCAACAGATAACTCCTCCAAAACTATCAATATATCTGCTAATCGTAGAAATGAGGTCGCTGCTTCTTTGTTAAATTCATCTAACACAGAAAAAAGTAAAAGCATATTTCCAAAAATGAAAAATGAATCTTCTAAAAGAAATGTAATGGATATTGAAAGTGTATGTGTTTTTTTTGTTAGTTTTAGTTTTAATTTTAATAAATTTAGATTTTATACAATATTTTTAATGCTGTAACAACATCTGGAGGTTAATCTAGGAATAGATTTAGGATAGCAGTGTTCCATCCTGAATATACTTCTGCACATTTTAAAATCATTAGCAATTTTTGAAATCAAATCTATAATATAATTAATTATAATTATATTAATTATATAGAAACTTTTTATCTACAAAAAAAAAGTTATTTAAATTTAAGATAAAAGCAATTATTCAGTTATTTATATAATGTTGAATTATTTGTATATCCAGTTTGTTTTAATTTAACTAAATACTATAGTCAGTGTGCCAACCGGTCTAGGTTATTTCCTGAACCTTAAAATAAAATGGACTTAAATCTTGTTCATACTGGCGATAAAACATTTTATATTATAAAAGCATATTAAATTGTTTTTGTAAAAAAAACAAAATGTGAGTTTGTTTCGTCAGTATGAAAAACTTGTGTTGATATAAAACTTGTGTTGATATAAAACAACTTCATTGTATTGCTTTATTGCTGTTTTATTAAAAACATTTTTATGTTTTTTAAACATTAAAAAACATTTTTATGTTTTTTGAAACAAAATGTGGTTTATTGTCAGAATGATTGTTGTTATTAGTTTGTTCAATTATAAATTTCTTTATTAACAGGCTAAAAGAAAATCTATTGAAGAATCTGAGGTATATGAACATTATTATTATTAATTATTATTATTAATTATATTTTTTAAACTAAAAATCAAACTTTTAAATTATGAATTTTTAAAAGTTAAATTAATATTTAGCCTTCAAAAATCATCTTGAAATTTATGAAAATTAATTTAAAATAAGCTTAAATAAATAAATAAAAAAATCAGAAAGACATAATAACCTTTTTACATTAAAAAGTTTGAAACAATTTCCTTAGTTAAAAACAACATTGTTAAGCAACAAGTTTGTAAAGAAACAGAAATTAAAATTTTTTAAATAGTTAAAAATTATTTAAATATTTTAAACCAAACAAAGATGTCAATTTCTCACTAACAAATAAATGTAATTATAAATATTTTTATATTGTTATGAATATTAGATTATATGAAGATAGGTTATATGAATAACTATAAATAGGCTGGAATAATTTTTGATTTTTTTTTTTAATTGTTAAATTTTGTTTTTATAATTATAAATATAAATTTAATCTTTCATCAAAATGTTGTGAAGTTTAATTTAGAGGAATCAGCCAAACAAGAAAAACAAAGTTGATAGCAATCTTGAATTGAAAACAAGTTAGTAGCTTGTATCACTGTATAAACTGCACACACACACACACACACACACACACACACACACACACACACACACACACACACACACACACACACACACACACATATATATATATATATATATATTAATGACTTGTTTGCCTTTTGTTACAATATAGTTGTGGTAGTTGTTTATTGTTTTAATATATATATATATATATATATATATATATATATATATATATATATATATATATATATATATATATATATATATATATATATATATATATATATATATATATATATATATATTAAAATAATTAACAACTACCAAAACTATATTGTAACAAAAGGCAAACAAATGAGTCATATAAAATTTTATTTGAAATAGGGTAAAATGAGTTTGGTTAAACTGAGATTTTTTGGTAGATGAGATTATGACAATTTTTTTTATTTTTAATAATTTTGTTATGATAAGAAATACCATAAATATAGTTTTAATATAATATCATAATGTCATTTAGCAGAAGTTCCAAAGAAAAAGAAGAAAAAAAATGTTCCATTTAATGAGATTTTGGTAAGGGTTTCTATTTTTTGTATGTTTAACATAAGTTACTATAAATATTGAAAAACATTGTATTTATCTTTAAGAAAGGTGTAGTGTTTGTATTAAGTGGCTATGAAAATCCACAACGTGGCAAAATTAGAGATTTGGGAATATCTATGGGTGCACAGTATTCTGCATCATGGAACAATTCATGCACTCATTTGATGTATGTGTTTAGCGTGTGTTTTGTTTATATGTATATATATATATATATGTATATATATATATATATATATATGTATATATGTATATATATACATATATATATATATATACATATATATATATATATATACATATAAATATATATATATATATATATATATATATATATATATATATATGTATATATATGTATATATATATATATGTATATATATGTATATATATATATGTATATATATATATGTATATATGTATATATATACATATATATATATATACATATATATATATATATATATATATATATATATATATATATATATATATATATATATATATATATATGTATATATATATATATATATATATATATATATGTATGTATATATATGTATATATATGTATATATATATATATATATATATATATATATATAATATATATATATATATATATATATATATATATATATATGTATATATATATATATTATACTTATATAAAAGTAACTACGCAATGTTTACTGCTAAAAGTTTCATGTGTTATCTTAAAAAAAAATAGACAAAAGAAATATTTCAAATACATACAGGAAATAAAAAAAACCTCAAAATAACTAAAATTTAACCTTATCAAAAACTAAAAACAAGTCCCTGCATGTAATAGTAACATTAAAAAAACAGTTTTAACTCCGCAAAAAACTTTTAATAATTTCATACAAAGGTTCCCAAAAATTATTAAACAGTAAAACAAAAATAATATTAAAGTGTCATCACAAAAAACAAGATTCTGACTGACAACCGCAAACTGGAAAATTAAAAAGTTAATAATTAAAAAGCGAGCAATAACAGCCTTATAATTGTTTTTTCAAGTTTTCTTTTGCATAATAACAATGAAAGAATATAAATATAAAAAAAGAATATAAATATAAGAATATAAAGAATATAAAATATATATACATTTATATCTTAAAAAAATGAAACAAAATTGTAACAAAATATCAAGTTTAATTAAATAAACTTGAAAATTCAATAATTAAATAAAGTAAAAAAAATTTTTTTCGTAAAGTTATACAACTTTTGTATTCTTTTTTTAGAGTCATTATTGAAAAAAAATATCATTTATAACGATTTAACAACAATTGAAAGTTTTGATATGCAATTTATTAACAATTTTTATCAGTCCATATAATTAAGAAACCAATTTGCTATGTATGCTAAAACTAATCGAAATTTTGTTAATTTTTTTTCTTATTCATTTATTACATTTATTCGATTATGTTTTTGCTATATTTGATGTTTTTTCTTATTATTTATATAATAGAAAAATACAAAAATAATTTGTTATTTATTTGTAAAAAAAAATTATTTGGTTTATAAATTTGTCAATACGGAATAATTTAAAATAAAAGAATAACGTTGTTTCTTTAATAAATGTATTTACCATATTTGATACATGTCTGAAATTGTTTCTTTTATATTGCCCAATCTCCAATGTTAATACAAATTACTAGAGATGATAAACATAATGATTCCTCTGTTTAAAAAAATGTATTTAAAAACTTCAAAATAAGTGTTAAATATCTCCTAAAAATTTCTTAAGAAAGATCAGTAAATTAACAATGCGCTCCTAACAAAATTTGCAGAATTGTTTCATTTTTTTTACAAGAAAAATTTGTTTTAAAAAAAACTTTTTTTAACAAATAAATAGCAATTAGTTTTCTTGCTTTCCTGTGTATTGATAAAAACAGTTAAGTTTAAAAAAGACATTTGAAAAACAAATTTAAAAATTGTCAGTGTTTCTAGCACGATTTTCTTTACATACTGACTTAAAAAAGTCGCAAAAAAATTTTATATCAAAAAATCTTTTTATTTTCGTTATATTTTTATCTGCTTTTTTCCTCACTTGTATCAATTTAAATAAAGTAAAATAACAACTGCCCTAAAAATAAGAAAATAAAAAGAGTAAAATATTTAGGTATATTATTTTTTTGACAACAATTTTCTTTTTTATTACTGAATTTATTTTAGCTTATTTTATTTAAATTTTCTATTTCGTATAATCTTCGGATCTTTTCTTTGAGTATTGCTGTTTTATTCTCTAGTTTCTTATAGCTTTATTTTGCCGCGAATTCTTAAAACGCTTACTACATAAAAACATGGTTAAGTTGTCTAAAAAAATTACTTTAAGTGTGTTTGTACAAGGCGTGCAACCGCACGTGCTACCCGGGAAGGCTTGATATATATATATAATGTGTATATATAGAACTTACTATAAAATGCTAATCAGAAATTAGAAAACTTATTACAACATTTTTAACGGCCATAATTTTTTTAAAGGTTAAATGCAAGTTGATATTTTTGCAAATAAAACATTGCTTATGCTACTTCATTTATATTTTAAGATAATTAAGTGAATAAACTTTTATACATAAGATTTTGGAAATTGAAGTTTTGTTAGTATGTTCATTGTAATTTATTGTATCTTGTAGATTATTTTTCAACTGCAGTTTGGTTAGAGTAAAGTAAATTAAACTTTTTTTTGTTCTATGGAAAGAATATTATTTTAAAATATAATTTAAAAAAATATAAATATAATTTTTAAAATCTTATAAAGTTCCAATAATTTAATGTATAAAATTTTTTTTTAAATTTAAGTTGTGCTTTTCGGAAAACTCCAAAGTTCAATGAAGTTAAAGGTATAATTTTTAAAAATTTACTTAAAAAGAAATATATATATACAGCCCTCGGAATTAGGTTTGGCATTCAGCATTGCCGACCTAGAAGTGTTTGAAGTCGTAAAAAAATGTCAACCTCGTTTCTATCTGATATGGTCAAACCTTTGTTTCAATTTTTTTTTCTGCCGACCTGAAGCTGACCTCACACAGATTATGATTTGGTCTTATTTTTTCTAATTCTGAGGGCTGTATATTGTGTATATGTACTGTATGTAAAAAAAAAACTTTTTTTCTATTCATTGTTTTTGCTTTATTTCAAAATGCTGTATATTCAAGTATTAATTATAAAACACTTTATATTAATTTTTAATAAATTTTATATATATCTTTTCTTTTATATCTATTATCTATTTTATGGTCTTCTTTACTGTCTTATTTGTTTAAATGTTTTAAAACAATTCTTGTAAAATTAAATGTAAGCTTTTTTACATTTTTAAAAACAATTTAAAACAGAGTAATGTGTTTATGACTTGTATTCTCATATTTTGGTTTATTCAAATAAACTCAATAAAAATAAAATTAATACAATTCATATTTGAAGTCAAGTGCTGACCAATTCTATCCCTAAATCATCATGACTCCATAAATTAAATTTTTTTTTAATATATATCCTGTTTTTAAAATAAAATTATTTTGAGCTTCAAATAAAAAAATTATATTGAAGTTTAACAAAATAGTTACAAACAAAACTAATTTTTTCTGAAATTTTGTCAGTTAACTCAGTATTTCCAAAAACATACCAAGTTTTAAAAAATATGCTCTTCAAATAAAGTATTTTTATTAATTTCTTTTTTTTTTCTTTTTTTTTTATAAAAAAAAAGCTAGTTATCATGTATCAAGATGCAAATAAACTCAAGTTTACCAGATCACAAAAATTTTCTCAAAAAAAAACCCAACAAATATATTTCAACAATATACAATATTACAAAATATAGCAGACAACAAAAATACTTCATTAAGACTTTCACAATTTATTTTAAATACTAATTGTATAAAACAGATGTAATACATGCTAAAAAAAATACTTTAATTTATATTCTCAAAACAAAAAAAAATTAAAAGAATGAGGTAAGAGTGTATTACTACTTTAAATAAATTAAAAAGTGTAATAAACTTCAAAAAAACAAAGTTTAAAGACAAGCATTACTTTCGAAAATAACATGCATAGATTTAGTTTCGCCCGACCTGACATACAATAATAATAAACATAGATAATGACACTAAAAAATTAGTAATCTAACAAATTGGGAATCTTGCGTGATTGATGAATAGGTAGACAAGATTAGAAACCACAAAGCTATATAAAATCACAAAAAAATTTTCAAATTTCTAAAAATTGTATTTGTAGAGGGAAAAGGGAAGGGCAATGTCCCTTTACTTGTCTCGGAAGATCGTCTGATCGTGTTATTTTGTGTCAACATTGTCATGAAACTTTTTTTCAAAACTTTTACTCAGGAATATAAAAATTAGCAATTGCTTGGCGAATATGGCGCCCTAAGTTACATTATTTTATTACATATTCTTGCATTTAAGCTCACAATTAAACAGGTTTGATATAAAAAGAGTAAAAAAAATTGTGTTAAACGAATTGTATTTTAGTAAAAAAAAATTTAGTTTGTAATAAAGTTGTATGAAAATATCAAAGCAAAAAAGTTACTTGTTACAAAGTTAAATGTTAAAGCAAAAAAGTTACTTGTTACAAAAAGTTAGCAAACTTAAACTATTAGAAATTTTTTTAATAAAAATGAGTTTTTTATATGATATGTGAAGCAACATTATGACGATGTGACAAAGGTTGAAAGTTGGCTGCAAGAGCAGGTCCAACTAGGTTTACAATGCGTTTTTGCACCTTGTCTAAAAGGGAAAGAGCATCATTAGAAGATCAGCCCCAGATATATTATATATTTAACGTAGTAAAATTAATATTATAAAATTGTTGATAAAATTTTTATTAATAAAAAGTTATTTAAATGCAATGTTTTAAAAACAAATATACAAACCAGACTGTATTATTAAGATAAAAAGAACAAAGGAAAAATTGCTTTAACATTTTTTTGCTTTTAAACTATTTGCTTTAACGACCCACTACCAATTAGGCACATTGTTCTTCAAAATTTCCAAATAATTTGCAGATTCTCACCTTTTTGTAAAAGTGGTAAACTAGCATGACAATTGACAGTGGTTGAACCCCAAATTATAATTGCCGGACATAGCTTAACAGAAAGTGCAATGTATTGAGGACTAAAGCATGAGTTTTGCAGCTGATTAAGATTAGCTTTGTGTGTGACAAACTGCTTAACATGCTCATTGTTTGAAAACATGGTTCTTGGAACAAAATTAAAAGCAATTATGAATATTTTTTTAAAAAAAGTGTGGATTTAATGCAGCACAGTACAATCAAAGATTAAAGTCCTTGTCGAAATATCCAACTGTTCATGCACTAACATTCACACTAAAAGGCAGTTTTGCAAGAATTTGTAAGTTTTGCAAGAATTTGCTTGAAATCTTTCTTACCATAAAATTCTGTAGAGGATTTTGCGGTAAGAATTACCATAGACTGGTAATTCTTGTCCTCCACAATATTTTTCTGGATTTGTTAACTTAATGTACCAAATAATACATGAATAGTCTTCAGCATCTTCCAACATGCAGCAAAGCGTTCAGACTTGCTAGCTATCACTTGCTAAATGTGCAATTTAGCAAGTGTGAATGATAAAACACATGTTTTTTTAATTAATATCATAATTCATGGCCTTCTATTTTTAAATTTAAATATTAACTTTTTTCTATTCCTCAGAATTAAAATGGCGGACAATCAACTAACTGAAGAAGATTTACGTCATTGTATACTGTTTCATTTTTGGTTGGGTTTTAATGCAACAGTTGCAACAAAGAAAATTTGTGATGTGAGACGTATTGAAAGTAAATAAGTGTCAACGTTGTTTAGAAAAATTCCAATGGTAATTTTGACTTATCTGATAGTGATCAAAGTGGGCACACGATAGGGTTTGATAATGATGCCTTAAAAACACTGGTGAAAACTAATCCCAAGCTAAGTATCCAAGAAATAGTAAACACTCTTCAGGTTCCTTGGTCAACAGTTCAAAGACATCTTCAGGAATTTGGGAAGGTTTACAGTTAGGGTATATGGATCCCATATCTATTGTCAGAGACAAACAAAGATCAACAGCTTACAATTTGCACACCTCTTTTGTGCAGACAAATAAATGATCTGTTTTTACAAAGGATTGTTACTAGTGATGAGAAATGGGTCTTGTACAACAACAACAAGTGCACCATTCAATGGCTTTCTCCAAACTGTAACCACTCCTAAACCATCCCTCACTTTAAAGAAGGTTTCATTGTGCGTTTGGTGGGACTCTGGTGACATAATTCATTTTGAACTACTGAAACCAGGAGAAACAGTTACGACTGAATTACCAACAATTGGATAGGTTACACAACCAGTTGTTGGTAAAAAGACCAGCTCTGGTTAACAGAAGAAGAGTAATATAGCAACATGATAATACCGACAGTAAGACAGCTAAACTGGGAGGTTTTACCACATCCCCCATATTTACCAGACATAACACCATCTGATTTTTATTTATTTCGGTTCATGGAACATTCCCTGAAGAATAAAAATTTCAAAAATGTTGATGATAATCGAACTCACTTGGAAGCATATTATTATATTATATTCATATATCTTCAAAGGATATAGAATTTTATGACATGGAATTGAAACTCTTGCAACAAGATGGCAGAAGGTCCTAGATAACAATGGAGATTAAATAATTGATTAGAAATAAAGTTTAATATAAATAAATTCTTTTTTTTTTTGTTGACACTTAAATAATTGATTACTTATGGGGACCCCTATTATATATATCATTATATATCAAATTATATTATATTATATATTATATATTATATTATATTATAAATTATATTATATATTATATATCAAAGCACACTATCCTGTATAAATAACAATTACATATTATCCTAAATAAATAATGTGTACATTTATAACTCAAAAAATTCCCATTTTTTTTTTTAAACATGTGAATTTTAAAATTTAGGAAAAGGAAAGATTGTTGGCAAAGGTTGGTTTACTGATTGTCAGCAAAAGAAGAGGCGAACAAATACAAAAAAGTGCTTTTTTTATTGTTAAGTTTTTAATCTTTTATTCTTTCTCTCTTTTTTTTTTGCTTTAATTTTTAAGATAATTTTGAAAAAATAGTTTTCGTATTGATGGAGGAGGCAATAGCAGCTTTGAATCATCTGGAGATGAATCATTTATAGAAAATGAAGCTCATATGAAAGATAAAAAGAGTTCTAGTGAAAATGATACAGAAGATGAAATAAAAAGGCAAGTCTTTTTTTTTTAGTATTTTCAAATGTTTTTTTAGTTAATCTTATTTTTAATCTCAATTTTTAGAGTACGCGGTTTAAATAAACCTTCGGCTAATGAGATCTCAAGCAATTCCTTAAAATCAACCTCTGCAAAAACTGAAGATGAAGATCCGTATGGTGCTTCAACAGAATCAGAATCAGAAGAGAAAAGTATTTATTTTTTATTTTTTAGAGAAATCAATTATGTTTATATAAAATTAAACGAAATTTTTCTCTCAAAAAGACTGTTTTATAGAAACTAAATCGACTAAAAATGCACTAAAAACTGACTCTGACATTAAAACTCTAATATCTGACCAAGGGTAATAAAGGAAGATTAGCACAAATTATATATATAAAAAAAAAAAGATGTGCAATTCTCTTTTGACTAGTTAAATGATAAATAATTTCTGGTTGACTAGTTAATAATAAGTTTATTCTTCATATTTATGGAAAAGATAAGCATTTGTTAAAAAAATCATGTTAAAAAAACTGTGCAAATTTAAAGTATACAATTATTAAATAGAGGGTAATTTTTTTCAAATAAGAAATGCTCATTTCAGAATCGCTATAAGAGTTAACAAATTGTATTTTTTTTAGAAGGACTATGTTTAATTTACTAAAAACAACTATTTGCATTTTGAAAAGTTCAAATATTACAGAAATAGACGAGTTGCTAAAATAGTTCATTCAAATATGTAGATTAGCGTTAATGCTCAGCGTTAGCGTCAAATATGTAGATTAGCGTTAGTCTAGTAACAGACATTCCTTCTTAACATTACAATTACATTCTTATTACGAAATGCTTTTTAATGTTGTTTTTTTTTGGTCATATTTTTATTGTTTTATTTTGCATTAGAAGTTGCTCCTAAAATAGAAAGTATTTCTGATGCAGTTGTTCCCAGTTTGCCAGATTTTTTTTCTGGGAACTGTTTCTTTGTTTATGGGGATATGGACTCTAAAGACAGACGTTACCTTAAAAGATGTATCATTGCTTATGCAGGGTATAAATTTGTATATGTCTAGAACTAATTTTTTTTTATTTAATTCTGTTTAAAATGTTTGTGAGAATGATTATATTTTTTTCTTAAATTCAATTCTTGTTAGAACGGTAGAAGAATACATGAAGGAATCTGTTAACTACGTTATTACAAATAGTGATTGGGATGAGAATTTTAAGCAGGTTGTTTTAATCAAACGTTTCTCAAGTAAATTTTAAATAAAGTTTATAAATAACAATTATTATTATTTTTTTATTTGTTAATTATTTTTTTATTTGATTTTTCAGGCTTTGGCTGAAAATTCATCATTAAAATTCGTCCGTCCAAAATGGATTTTTAAATGTCACGAAAAACAAAAGTTTTTACCCTGTGATCCTTATTTAGTGTTACCATTATAAAGATCTTTCACCACTAGAACAAGTTGCTTTATAAAGTTTATCTATGAACTGTGGAGTTCATGAACGGTTGTTAATTACAGTTTTTTGATGAGAAGTCTTATATAAAATCATTTTGAAGAAAAGCAAGAGATAACATTTGGCATGTTATTAATTTTTCGTTAATAAAAAATGTTTTAGTTTATTGCGTAATTGAAGATGCATTAAAATGGCTTTTGTAGTTCGTACACAGTCACCTTATGTTTGTATATGATTTGCCGGATAATTGCGTTGGTTTAATTTTCTTAAACTATAAAACATTAAGTATATAACTATACTTGAGTACTATATATGTAAAAACTAATATTAGACTTATATATTTATATATATATATTTAAATGCATATTCTAGCTATTTTAGATTTGTCACTATCTATTCCTAGACACCACCTCCATACATAAGAATAATTGAATCGGTGAATGTTAAAAGGGCGGAAGTTCAACAATCTAAACTTTCGGGACACTTAAAAAAACTGTTTTTTCCCTCATACTAAATTTTTGTTAATGGTTTAATAATTATTTTTTTTGAAAGTGAAAAACATCCTAAAAAAAATTAAACAACAAAAATTTACTACAAGGAAGAAAAGTAGTTTTTTAAGAAAACCTTTAGGTCTAAGCATTTTTTATAATATTGAGATATATTATGAATTGATAAATTATGATCTTTTACTTAATTATATATAGTTAAAATACTTAATATTTAAAATCTTTATTTTTTACTTTTAGATGTTAAACAAATAAGAATAAAAACTTCTTATAACTTAACTTTTTTTTTTTCTCTTCTTACTCTTTATCAATCCAACCTTTCCTAATTCCTTTTAACTATTTTCTTCTTGTTGTTGTCCTTTTTGTCATTATTATTTCGCATTTTCCATTATTTTTTCGCCGCTTTTTGTCTTTTTCTACTGAATATTTTACTGAGCAATCACAATTAATTAAGTATAGGTTTGAATTAAAATGCAAGAAAAATATCAGATAAACCTTAAAAATTTCAGATAAACTTTACTAATAATTATGCTGATACGTGGATTCAAAATAATCAACAACATTTGAGGTCCCATTCAACATCAAGAGGTCGTGAATGGATTAAACAGGGAAAGACCAATCTTTTAGAGATAGGAGCTTTCCTTGTAGTCGTAATAAACATGGGTCTCATCAAAAAAGCTAACCTTAAACTGTGGTGGGATATAAGTCATCGTTGTGCATTAACCGGTTGTTGATCCCTGGTTTATAACCTACTTCAATCGTGACCGGTTTCATCTTTTGCTTGAATTTCTTCATTTTTAAGACATCCATGCGTCAAATCAACAACTACTCAATAAAATTTATAAAATTCAGTTTTTAGTTAAACATTTTAACAACAAATTTCTTTGTTATTATCCACAAGGAGACATTTCTATATATGAGAGTATGGTTGGCTACAAAGGAAAGACTAAAATTTACTAGGGAAGGAAAGACCCAGATGTAGAAGCCGTTGCTTATGGTATGACTTATAGTTTAGTTTTTTATCTTTTGCGCCTAATTAATTTCCTTCATCAATTGACAACTATACTTCTCTTCAAATGTTATTAGATCTATATGCTCATCAGACAACTGCAACAGACACATTGAAGCAACAGAAAGTATTAAAATTTCTGGATTAAATTAAAAAACAATGAAGTTTCCCAATATAGAAAAGGTCCGTTGTTGTGCGTGGCATAACAAGATGATAAAAAAAAAGCCTGTACTAATATCTACTGTTTCCAAAGCAGATATCACTGAAATGCGTAACAGAAGAGGGAATACAGTTATGAAACCAAATGTTGTTGCCCTTTGCAATAAAACCATGGGCGGTGTAGATTTAGGTGATGCACAGCTTTGTACTTGTCTGAGCGTAAAACAATAAAGTGGACAACTAAAGTTGTTTTTTCTCTATTTGGTAGAGCAATTTTAAATAGCTATTTTTTGTATAATCTTAATTCACATAAACATAAGCCAATGTCAAGAATAAATTTTATGATAGCTATTAGACATTAGATAATCGGTATCGTATAAGTCGATACCGAGAAGAATGGTCTCGTATCGCGTGGTATCGCTTATATACTATTGTCGATACTATCAGTATCGCTTCGATACCAAACGATACCGATAATAAAAAGAATCGTATAGTATCGCATGGTCTCGAATCGAGACTCAAAAAAACAAAAAACTAAAATGTGACTTATTGAATTTTTTAGTAACGAAAAACAAGTATACCCTAGGTTTGATGAAGACAAGTATACCCTAGGTGTATTTATCGATTTAAGTAAAGCTTTTGACACTGTCAATCATCAAATCCTTCTATCCAAACTGAAAAGTTATGGTATAATAAATACTAATTTGTCCTGGTTTGATAGTTACTTGACTAATAGAAAGCAGTTTATTTCATATGATAGCGGAAAAACGGAATATAAGTCAATCACCTGTGGTGTTCCTCAAGGATCAATTTTAGGACCACTTTTATTTCTCGTTTATATTAATGACTTATATAAATTTTCTAACATTTTAAATTTAATTTTGTTTGCAGATGATACAAACTTGTTTTATTCTAGTAAAGATATCAGTAAATTATTTCAAACAGTAAACAAAGAACTTGAAAAATTAACCCAATGGTTCAAATCAAACAAACTATCTTTGAACATCAATAAATCCAAATACACTTTGTTCCATCGTCTTCATAAAAAACAAGATATTCCATTAAAACTTCCTGATCTTTTTATTGATAACGCATTATTAAAAAGAGAGCAATCAATAAAGTTTTTAGGTGTGATTCTGGATGAAAATTTAACCTTGAGGGACCACATAGGTCTAATTGAAAATAAAATATCAAAAAATATAGGTGTTTTGTATAAAGCCAAGCAGTTTTTAAATCTATCTTGTTTAAAAAACTTATATTTTTCTTTAATTCATTGCTACTTAAATTATGCAAACGTTGCTTGGTGCAGCACAAACGCAACAAAAGTAAAAAAACTGTTTAGTAAACAAAAACAGGCTATAAGGATAATTACAAACGTAGACCGTTTCTCTCACACTAAAACATTATTTAATAAACTTAATATTCTAAATGTATATAAACTAAACCTTTACCATATTCTTATCTTCATGTTTAAACTTGATAAAAAAATATCACCAATGTTATTTAATTCACTTTTTGAAAAAATAAACCACATATACCCTACCAGATTTTCAAAAAACAATTACATTTAATCCAAAACACATTATTCAGCAACCAAATTCTCAATTGCAAATCGAGGTCCTAAGCTGTGGAATACAATATTAAATAATGAGCTGAAATCTAATTATTCTTTAAACCAGTTTAAAACAAAACTTAAGCAATTACTGATGATACATGAAAATGAATTAAAGTTCTTCTAAAAAGCTTTTTAAACTAGCAAACAAAAACAAAAGTTAACCTACTAATTACTCTTTAATATTATATTTAATATTCTAAACAATAGTCTGCTTTTGTAAATGTATTTCTTATCTTATAAGTTTTGAATTTACAAACGATTTTTTAAGTTTTATTATTTGAAATACTAATTACTAAAAATATTGTAAAATTTTATAATTTCAATTTTTATTAAAAAAGTTATTGTAAATTCTTTTTGTAATATTAATACTTATATATCATCTTATTTTACTAATCAGTTCTTAAATATAAATACTCTTTGAATTACTAAATATTTTAAACGTTATATATTTTATTTTTTACATTTTGTTAAAATATTTTATTTGATGAATATGCATTTTTTTGGGGGGGCTTAATGATAAGATGAATTTTGTCTTCTTCAAGCCCCAGTCATGTAAATATTTGTTTTTATAAATTACGAGTGTAAATTATTTTCAATCGGCAAATACAATACTAAAAAAAAAAAAAAAAAAAAGTACAATTGCTTTTTAGAGATTTAGTAATTGTTTTTTAAATCTGCAATACTTTGGCTATCGTTCATTCGTTGTTTTTTCCTTTGCCGTACTTTCGTTGTTATTTTAGGATTTTCTTAAATTTATATTGGGAAAGATAAGTCTGATTCATGTCCTATACCACTTTCATTTTCTTGTTCGATGGGCCATTTTTAAATGTAATTTTCAAGAGCGAAATAGTTCTGCATTATAAATACAAGCTTATCTGTCTTGTCACTATCGAGATTGTATCTACGATCAGTGATGACAAGATCAGAAGCAGAAAATGCTCTTTCAAATGATGCAGAGGTTGGTAGAGTAGCCAACCAAGATCTTGCAACACCCGAAAGGATAAGAAGTTCCGCTGCATGCTGCTTCCACCATGCTAAGATGTCAATTTTACCTGCATTTTTGGATCTAATTGTTTTTTGGTATTTTTCCATTTCTAGTTTAATAGGAGTGTTTTCGTGTGTATGATGTGAATTAGTATCTTCCTTATAATTTGCTAAAATAATATTGTATTCATTTTCCTCCCAACCTTGTGCATTATGCAGCAACGGAATCGTTACTACCGTTGTTATTACTGAAGCTTGAGACAGACAATGAAGAATTCTCAAAGTATTCTTTGGTTGTGGGATTGTTTTTAACCAGTTTTTGAATATTTTCATCGTCAACATCAAGAAGATGTCCACGAAAAAATGGATGAAAATGCGGGTAACTTACGGCTTTTGTCTAGGAATCTCTTATTTAACTCTGATAATAAGTTTCCATGAGTAACATAATTATTTATTTATTTCTCGATGAAGTTGATAAGTGCTGTTACTTTGCACAGTGACATGTCAATTTCTCAGCTTGAAAAAGAGGACAGTAAGGACAAAAATGTAAACAAAGTGCTGCAAAATAAAAAATGTCTCATTCCAACTCAAGCATTATCAGACCAAAAGAGGTGAAAAAAGTGTATGCTGAATATATGTATGTGTATGCTTATATGTATGAATATATGTAAATATATGTAATATGTATGAATATATGTAAAGTGTATGCTGAATATAATATAAGTGTATGCTGAATATATATGCTGTATACCACTGTGTGGAAGTTTGTTTTATAATAACAATATGGAAAAGCCTAATATTGGTCTATTTTCTTTCCCGAACAAAGAGAAAAAGCCAGATGTTCACAGAGCTTGGTGTAACGAAATATTTAAATATAGACGTAAAGGAGGTGCTGATAATTTTGAAATAAAGAAACAAACTAAAGTGTGTGAGTTTCACTTTAAGCCTGAGGAGATAAAAACTAGTTCTGTTTGCGGAAAAAAATCGTTAAAAACAGGAAATGAAGTTCCAAGCATATATTCATTTAAGACAGTACAAGAAAAGTTACCAAGAAAATCTCTCTATGTAAAAGATCAAAAATTCTAGAGTGCACAACTAAAGTCGATAAAGGAATTCATAAATTACTGGATTTTACAAATAACGAAAATTGTGAAAACTGGAAGCTGTTATCATCCGAAAAAACAACCATAGAAAAAAGATTAGAAGTTGTTCATGAAAGCTACTGTAGCTTGCTTGAAAAGTATAACAATTTAAAAATAATCAATGACCGATTAAAAACTAATATTTTTAGCTACAAAAGTTTTGAAAAAGAAGATGATAAATATTTTAACTCTTTTACTGGTATGAGAAAAGAAAAGTTTGACAGTTTGTTTGCATATTTAAATCCTGGAAATGAATGCGAAAATATTAAGTATTATTATTCTGAGCATCATTCTGAGGAAAAATTACCTGAAGAATTGTTTACATCTCCTTCATATTCTACACCAGAATCCATACCTGGTCCTCGGTCAAAAATGAAATCAATTGACCAACTATTTATGTTTTTAACATGGCTTAGGCTTGGTTTTTCTTTAAGTTTTACTTCCTGGTTATTCAAGACACCAAAATCTACTGTATCAAGATATCTTATAACAAAGTCAAATTTTATGTACCTTAAATTTGGTACTATACCAATTTGGCTTAATTTAGATCTTTTAGAACTTAAACTTAATATGCCGAAGTGCTTTAAAGAGACTTATCCTAAAACGAAAGTTATTATTGACTGTACTGAGTTTGTTTGTCAAAGACCATATAGCCTTACAGTTCAGAGTAGTATGTTTTCTCACTATAAGCATCATGTTACCTTTAAAGGATTAGTTGGAATTGCTCCTTCTGGTGCAATAACATTTGTTAGTGAACTACTTGTTGGCTCTATTTCTGATATTGAACTAGTTAAGCAACCAAGACTTTTGCAAAGAGAGCTATTGGAGAGTGGAGATTCTGATAGAGGTTTTTTAATAAGGGAGCTGCTTAAGCCTTTTGGTGTAACACTTAATATTCCAGCATTTTTAAATGGAAAAGATCAATTATTAAATGAAGAAGTTATAGAAAGTCAAACAATAGCATTCATGTAGAACGTGCTATACAACGAATTAAGAAAAATAAGCAAATACGAAATGAAATACCCCTAGTTTTATATGGATCTATTAAGCAAATTTCGACTGTAAGCTGCTTATTGTGTAATTTTATGGATCCTCTTATAAAACAATAAAATTATATGAAATATGATATTTATTATTAAGATAGATAGCATGACAAAAGATATTTTTTATAAAAATACCCTTAATTATCTATAACATCTAAAAAATAACATTTATCTCCTTTTTTTGTAAAATTAGCATAAAGTATGTTTTTCATTACAGAGTATACTTTTTTCTCTTTCTCACCAGGCACTCCCCATTTTCTAATGTAGTTGTAAAGGCGTTTTCAGAATGAACCTCTTTAAATAAATTTAAACAGCATTCCGATAATTCTAACAGTAAAGCCATAATGTGATTACAATAACCACTCAAACCAGCAGGGGAACTGCAAGAAGCCTTATCAACATGACTACTTTTGCTATTAATATAAATGAGCATTTTTCTAATCATTTTTTTAATGCTTGCTCGACATGTACATTTTACATTGAAGTATTTAAGTGTTTGTGCTGTGAATAAACTGTCTACAAAAATATAACGTTTTTGTTTAAATTTTAGTCCCCTTTCTAAAGTTTTTTTAATAGCTTTTTCTTTTATTTTACCACATTTGCTTACATGGCTATCAATTTCACGTTTGGTAAACGTTGGTAGAAACTGCAGAGATTTTCCCCAGCACTTATCTTTTTTTAAAGATACATCTTTCTTCGATTTTAACTCTATTTTCAAATCTCTATTTATATCTCGCAATATTAAATTTTGAATTTTGTTATCTGTAAAGCAGCTACATTTATCAATATTAATTTCATTCATATTTCTTTAGATAGATAAATTGAAAAATAAGTAACTTGTTCGCTTTATTTATGCGATTTGTTGCTATTTGTTTACATTTTTGTCTTTACTGGCCTCATTTTTAATAGTTGCGCAATCAAATTAGATATCTATTCGGATTTCTGCGTTATCTTTATGTTGTGATTATGTGAGAAGATAAAAAATCTGATAATTCTTTAACAGAGCATTAGAGCATTAGAACAATTCTTTAACATTAGAACATTAGAACAATTCTTTAACATTAGAACATTAGAACAATTCTTTAACATTAGAGCATTAGAACAATTCTTTAACATTAGAACATTAGAACAATTCTTTAACATTAGAGCATTAGAACAATTCTTTAACATTAGAGCATTAGAACAATTCTTTAACATTAGAGCATTAGAACAATTCTTTAACATTAGAGCATTAGAACAATTCTTTAACATTAGAGCATTAGAACAATTCTTTAACATTAGAGCATTAGAACAATTCTTTAACATTAGAACATTAGAACAATTCTTTAACATTAGAACATTAGAACAATTCTTTAACATTAGAGCATTAGAACAATTCTTTAACATTAGAGCATTAGAACAATTCTTTAACATTAGAGCATTAGAACAATTCTTTAACATTAGAGCATTAGAACAATTCTTTAACATTAGAGCATTAGAACAATTCTTTAACATTAGAGCATTAGAACAATTCTTTAACATTAGAACATTAGAACAATTCTTTAACATTAGAACATTAGAACAATTCTTTAACATTAGAGCATTAGAACAATTCTTTAACATTAGAACATTAGAACAATTCTTTAACATTAGAGCATTAGAACAATTCTTTAACATTAGAGCATTAGAACAATTCTTTAACATTAGAGCATTAGAACAATTCTTTAACATTAGAGCATTAGAACAATTCTTTAACATTAGAGCATTAGAACAATTCTTTAACATTAGAGCATTAGAACAATTCTTTAACATTAGAACATTAGAACAATTCTTTAACATTAGAGCATTAGAACAATTCTTTAACATTAGAGCATTAGAACAATTCTTTAACATTAGAGCATTAGAACAATTCTTTAACATTAGAGCATTAGAACAATTCTTTAACATTAGAGCATTAGAACAATTCTTTAACATTAGAACATTAGAACAATTCTTTAACATTAGAGCATTAGAACAATTCTTTAACATTAGAGCATTAGAACAATTCTTTAACATTAGAGCATTAGAACAATTCTTTAACATTAGAACATTAGAACAATTCTTTAACATTAGAGCATTAGAACAATTCTTTAACATTAGAGCATTAGAACAATTCTTTAACATTAGAGCATTAGAACAATTCTTTAACATTAGAGCATTAGAACAATTCTTTAACATTAGAGCATTAGAACAATTCTTTAACATTAGAGCATTAGAACAATTCTTTAACATTAGAGCATTAGAACAATTCTTTAACATTAGAGCATTAGAACAATTCTTTAACATTAGAGCATTAGAACAATTCTTTAACATTAGAGCATTAGAACAATTCTTTAACATTAGAGCATTAGAACAATTCTTTAACATTAGAGCATTAGAACAATTCTTTAACATTAGAGCATTAGAACAATTCTTTAACATTAGAGCATTAGAACAATTCTTTAACATTAGAGCATTAGAACAATTCTTTAACATTAGAGCATTAGAACAATTCTTTAACATTAGAGCATTAGAACAATTCTTTAACATTAGAGCATTAGAACAATTCTTTAACATTAGAGCATTAGAACAATTCTTTAACATTAGAGCATTAGAACAATTCTTTAACATTAGAGCATTAGAACAATTCTTTAACATTAGAGCATTAGAACAATTCTTTAACAGCATTAGAACAATAGCTTCAAAGAGAAAGAACTGTTTATCTGTAGGTACGGTTTTCTTCCAATCATCACCTTCTGTATCGCGTAATTATATGAGTGGAACCTTCAGTCGAAGCATGGCGTGCCGCATATCGTAATGGCTGTTCCATCTCGTGGTTACTGTGGAGGGTATTTTGAGGTAACTTACATCTAACCTAGAACAAGCATTTTTCATCGAAACACTGAAGGCTGTCGATTTATGAAGCCTGGTAGTAATTGAGCTTGCTTTAAAAAAGGCATTTTTCAGTTCCGGGGTACCCTCAACTGTTCTTTGAAGTGCAGTGTTAAGTTTGTGATCACTGCATGTAACAGAGCCTTCTTATTTAGTCATTAAAGACACACTGTTGTTTAGAGCACATGCCATATTTGATGTCTGATCAATAACACACAGCTTACTGGGTATTTTTTTTTTAATGATTCAGGGCATGAGAGTTTTGCAATCTTGTTACCAGTGTCTCGCTCTTTGATTAGGCACACTTCTAATGTAAATTTCTTTAGGGCAAAGTCTGGCAAGATATAATGTAATGTTACGGACATGTATGAATCATTTGCCCTTGATGTCCAGTAGTCGGTGGTTATGGCAACCTGATTAAGATCTATGAGCTTTTTTTCCATAACTTCATGCATTACTACCTTGAGTGTATGATGAAGCCGAGGGAGTTTATTTTTTGAGAAAGTTAATGAATATTTTATTGTGGCATTTGGAAATATTTTGTTCATAAACCTCTTAAAATTTTCGGAATCAGCAAAACTGAACGGCAAGGACTCAGTAGTAATCAAAGTAATGATGTCATGATCAACTACTAATTGACGCCGATCTTGAAGTGGCCAATTTTTTGTAACCGCTTTCTTTGGGAGAGTGAGAGTTTTAAAGACTACATCTTTTGCGGATCCAGAAGCCCCTGCCTCTATTACGTTTAGTTCTTCGCCTCCTTGTGTCTTCTTTTTTTTGAAGTTTGATGAATAACTTACTATGTTGTGTTTGAACATGCTTTCGCAAGCCAGTAGTTTTTGCTTGCTTTGTTGCAAGCTTATTTCCACAAGTTTTACACAGAGCAGATTCTCCTGAAAATGTAAAGTTTAACACCATGTGCTTTGCGATTTATGAATTATTGCTCCACCAATTAAAATATATATTTTTAAAATCCTTATAGTTAATAAACAATAATAGTAGTTACATAAAAGTGTAAAAAAAACTGCGTTTTTAGTTAAAAAAAAAATTAAAAAAATTAAATTCCTATGAAAGACTTCAACCTAGAACTCCGTGCTTATATCCGCTCGGCCACGCAAAGTCACGTGTTTGAAGATAAGTTATTATATCTAATAATAGTTCTGCCGGTAATAAATTTTAGAATTATTTCCTGACATTGCCGGCAATTACCTTTTGAGATAAAGTATAAAAAATATTTAGTTGTGCTTACCTTTTTTTTTTTGAAATAATCCCAGATTAAATATGTTGTTAAAGGCATAACGAGTGAAGATTAGTTTTTTTTAATAACTAAAGTATACTTATTTTTAATTGTTTAAAACTAAAGTTTAGTTATTGAATATTAAAACAGAACAAAGACCAGGCGAGAATTACGATATCACGAGAGATTTAATAAAGTAACAATACCAGAAGAGAAATTAAAGTATGAATGCGATATCACACAATTAAATAAACTAAAATAACTGTAATGAATGTTACGAAATCAATTCCTTTGAACAAACATTTCTAATAAGCGTTTAAAATAACCATTAATGATTGCATCACAAGCAATTCCCTTTGAAGAATTATATGAAATCTCTCTTTAATGATAGTTACAAAACTATGAACAATCATTTCTAATACTCGTTTAAATGGTTATATAATTTTTTTGTATTTTTTCATATTTTTTTATTTTTATCAATAATATTTTGAAGTTTGATATTTCTTAGGTAGGGAAGGGGGTATTTACCCCGAATACCACCCACCCTCCTTTACCTTTTTGTTTGCCCCTTACACACTGTTTAACATAATTTAATTATTTGTAAAAATTTAATGTAGAAATAAATGTTAAAAAAATCTTTTCTTTTCTTTTAATCATGATAGAAAATATTGTAATAAGGATAACAGATGAGAAATTAAAATACAGAAGTGGTACCACACAATTATTTAAATTAAACCAAAGATTCCAGATGAGAAATTAAATGATAAACATGATGTCATGCAACCAGCTCAAAGAACTTTCTTTTTATAATAAATGAGCCATTATATATCTCATTAATTATACGAATTTACTATTTCAAATTACTAATCGTTTATAAAATTAACATAGAAGTTCTCATGATGACCCAAGTTTTTTTTTTTTTTTTTTTTTTTTTTAGTGTAATTTATTTCGCCGTTAAAAAATTTTTACATTGCATATA